GATCGCATCTTGTAAAGGTTGGGATCGTTTGTGTAGGGAGAACGGAAGCTGGTGTTGTTTTTGTGTATAAGAGAAATAGCAAAATGAGCGAAAGATTGTCTATATGTTCATGAACACAACAGCTTATTTGTGAAATGAGTATTCATACTAAACACGTTTTTTTAATATATTATTATATTTTAATTAATATAATTATAGTTGATAAAGAAATTATTAATAGTAAAAAAAAAGGAAAAATCCTTTAAATTTTGTGTCCGGTAAATATTGCAATATTGGGTTCGATCCGCACTGGGTTCAACACGTTTCAAATCTAAATAAAACTTTTTAACGGTTTAAAACGAGATATATTAGTTAAACTTATTTGAAAATGATTTTTAACTTCGGCCCGACGTTTCGGATGCTTTGCAGTAGCCACGGGGAGACTAAAGATGGAGGATGTCTCTGACGTCAAAGTAAAAACGTTTTTGACTAATATTTCGCGTTTTAAACCGTTAAAGTGTTTTATTTAAATGTGTTCTACTCGCGCAAACTATAGACAGTATGTTTCAAATCTAATTACAGTGCAGCCTTAATATAACGAACCTCAATATAACGACTTTCTCGATTTAACAAATTCTTCGTAATCCCATTGAATTGTCCATAAGAGTAAATATTTACATTGCGAACATTCTTTGCGTACAACCTCTTTATAACGAATTTTCAACTATCAAGAAAAAGTATTCATACCTCTAATAACAAATTTTGCCGAACCAAAACCTTTATAAGTATAATCGTATAATGTGATTCATGTCTCGACATGTTTCGACACGCGTGTAAAGTAATCATTGTTGTTTTAATGGAAAGTAATGTAAATGGCTCAGAAATGTAAAAGGTGTTCCTTATCGGTTGCAGAAAAGCGAAACATTATTAATTATGTTGACCGAAATCCCATGGCGAAAAAATTAGACATAGCTAAAAAGTTCGGGATTGCCGCAAGTACATTGGCTATAATTTTAAAATTTAAAGAAGTTTTCACAAAAAAGTGGTTTGAATGTAAACAGTAAAAGATTAAAATCATGCGAGTTCAAAGACTAATAAGAGTAATATTGAGGTGAATAAAACTTTTCTTTTACCTCTTTATAACGAATTTTAGACCAATCTAACCTCAACATAACATACCTCAGTTCAACGAATTACTTGATATAACGAATATTTTCTTGTTCCCCTCCGATTCGTTATATCGAGGTTGCACTTTATAATTATTCTACAACATGTTCGACTTCGTCTGGACGTCTATATTAAATACCCATTTAGTATGAATGGCGAAATTTAGTACAAATCACAAATAACCGTCCACAGATAAAAAATCTGTCAAGTTTAATAATCACGTTTCGGTTTTAGTCTGTGCATTGCCAAGTATAGAAAGCCAAAAAACCCTATGCTTCTCTGTCCTCCTCTACAATTAAAAAAACGGCCAAGACAGAGTCGGACACTCGCACGAAGGGTTCCGTAAGCCATTCAGCCGCTGATCATTAAGCCACTTCTTAGCTTAAGAATTATTATCCTCACAATAAATTAATATATCTAATTATTAATTTTTGATTCCATTGACTATTTAAAAAGGTAACTTGTCTTACATATTGAATTTGTAATCTACCGAAAATTGAAATTTTCGTTAGTTTATCGAGCGTTAGTATGATGTTATTGGTCTACCAATTAGCTCTAGCTAATGACCATCTATATACCATCTTCTATTACTAACCGTGCAGTCCGTAATTAGTTTAAGATTCAAATTAGGCGTCTGAGCTAAGCGAGTTAACAACCGGCAGTGACAAACCATTTACAATTAAACACAGCCGCCTCGCTCTCAGCTCTATTTACTAAGAATTAGACGGATAAAAATTCAGATATCGCATTGCAAGAATTTGTGAAGTAGTTACATATTTCTCTTATTAAAATAAAAGTACAAATCGTAACGACATTAAACAACAAAATCCAGAATGAAATGCGAAAAAATCATACACTTGACGGTTTAAAACGCGAAATGATATTCGTTAACTTAATTACAATTTATTTTAACTAACACCCCGACGTTTTGCTGCAGTCATGGGTGGGGGGACCGTTAAAAACGTTATATTTAAGTGTTTAATACTCGCGTAAACTACAGACAGTACTTGTTCGACAACCTCTCGATTTAGATGCATTTGTTATTAAAAATTACGTAACTCATATTTTGTGCGCTTTAAACCGTTTAAAGTGTTTTATTTCGTTTGTAGCTCGTGTTCTCGATGGTGTTGGATTTTCGTGTCGTTTTGGTTACGCAATAAAGCAGCGACAGTAAACTCCGCTGCCTATATTTATTACGGTGACTCGTGATCCGGAAATATTTCGATAAACCTGCAACACATTTAACATTTAGATTTTCGAAGTCGAACCCACGACCTTTTCTTAGATAGACGCACATTGCTATCATTGGACTAACAAAGAAGGCATTTGAAAACTTTAATATATTTCAGACTATATAAATAAAAATCGATTAAAAAATGTTTTTTTATTTTTTATGATCGATTAATACGCAATTGTTAAAGTTGCATTGCGCGAGAGGTGTAGCAATATGTTGAAAAAATTAAATGATTACTTGTAGAATACGGCTGCTCAATGGGTAAGAGCCTGCCCGTGTCGTAAAGTTCTCAATTTACAATCAATTTACAATTCATATAGTGAAGACATTATTGTATCATCAGGGAAAGTAGTTATAATTTACAATAATAGGTCCTCATCCTATCGCATTAATTTTCCGAACATTAAGCGTCAGTGGGAACCGGCCACAGACGGCTGTTATCACTGTATTCAGATGCAAATCGCTTAACGTATTCATGCCAATTGTAAAACATGAAAGCTTTAAGTACTTCAGCTTAAAAGCACTTTTTGTTTCTGTATTACGTTTTATTCACAACAGACGTTCGTTTCAAACTATAATCGTTCTTCTGCTGTGCGCATCTATGTTATAGAACCTAGACCATCTCATGATGCTTAGGCTCAAACGTTGTGATAAGCTCTGGGTTCACACTAGGTGGTAAAAAAATAATATTATAAAAATGAGGAGGTTTACAAAAACAAATATGATGGCCAAAATAACTATTCTACGCTGACGAAGTCGCTGACACAGCTTGTGTTCATATAAAATTTGTAATTGTTCGTGAAATCTGGATACTAACCACAGAAGAAAAATCCGTGAAGTGTAATCGCGTTTCGGTGTCAGTTAGTTGATTTCCGAATATCCAATATATACGTCTAAACAGACGTTATATGGCTGGGGTATTTCATTTTCCATCAAGTGAATTTCCCTTCTTGTGTCTCTTCTATCAGATGAAAACGAAGTTCGCCGTTTACGTAATTTAAATATTGTGTTTTAGTTAATTGTTAAATAAAAGTAATAACATGGGACTGTTTAACTAATATCTTTACTGCTTTACAGACATCTTATTTCTTTCATTTTACCCAACGCGAAAATGTAACGCCGCCCTGCTGGTTTATCTATCCCCTGTTGGGGGGATACAGTCTGCGGCGGACAATGGGTTTAGTTTTTGCAATAGCGGGCAATAATATATTCGTGAACTATGTGAGCTTTGACTACTTCAGTGTTGAAATAAAAAAAATTATGTGTGATACTGAGATGATATTAAAAATACTTTGCATATCATCCGTTTATTTATTTTATTTATTTAATTACATCGGTAGAGTAACCAATTATACTAATTAATTATACATACGAGTAGCTATATCTATAACAAAATTGTAAGTAAAACATGCTCGCTTAATTTAAATTATGTTGTTAGTTTAAGTAAATTAATTTAGTTGTATTTTTTGAGCTAACAACGAGCGCAAATAAACGACGGGAGAACATTTATACAACTCCTTGGGGGGCTTAGCTTAAGTAATTAGGAGTTCTCTCGTATTAATTAGACGACAACGTATTTAACAACTAAGATTAGACAAACTTAATACATTTCAGATTTTTAAGGTGTGTAATAAAAAAAACTAAGTTAAGGGAACTGCTGAAATTAATAAAACCTACCAATTCAAAATTATTATTTTTTTAGAGAGAAGAATGGACAAGCAGGGATTCACTAGTTGCTTTCCTTCTCTGGATCTTTCTTCCACCTGTTCGGGCACTAGCTGTTGTGACTTGGATGGAATTTCGATATTCCTACCACCCACTGCAGACGATACAGATCCTTTTTAAAGAAAAAGCTTATAACAGTTTAAAGCGTAAAATATTGTCGACGTTTCGCTGCTGCAGCCGTGGTCATGGGAGGAATTAATAAAAAATTAAAAACTCAAAGCGTTTTATATAAATAAGCGAATCCACCACAAACCAACAAGCGAATAGAGCGTCGATACACGATTTGTTTATTCAGCTCGATGCTCAATGTATCCGCAAAGTAGAAAAGAAATAATGTAAATAAATATTTTGTCAGATGTTTATCTTCGTCCTGACTTGCTTCTGAAAGGTTTCGCTGGAGATGGGACTTCAGACTTTCATATTTTATTCGGCAACATTGTTTGGATTAAATGGAAAAGATGCTTTGATATTTTGGATATATTTACAATAAGGATAATATTTAATTAATTAATTCAATTGATTTTGAGCCTGCTTATAACAAGAACTTTTCTCAAATACTTTATTTAAGATTCGTGATAGTGGACCGTCAAGCATGGGGTTGATGGAAGGAAAGATACCCCAGCCATTCAACATCTAAGTAAGATGCGTTGTTGACCTGTTTTGGCTTCATATATTTTTAAAAATCCACTGACTGAAACAGAAACGCGATTGTACTTTACGGTTTTTATGTGTGGACGGTGGTTTGTAACCCGGACGGAATCTATATAGTCCTCCTACCCACTTATTATACAGATTTCCAGACGAAATCCAGTTAGCCAGTTCATTTGATAGTGATTAGTTTAGTCTGTTGTTAAAACCGTTAAAAGTGTTTTATCTGATCGTGATTTGTCCACAGCATCGTGCGCCTCTTCGCCCAAAATAAGGAAGACAAGAAGAGAGTAGAAAAAGCGCTGAGCGAGTCGGGCCTTCCGACTGGGAAAAACGACACCATATGCCAGTCCAAGTTTCAGTTTGAGGATTTCTTTGGGTTCTATAAGAGCTTAACTCAGCGCACCGAGGTCTTGAAGATATTTAATAAGCTGTAAGTTTAAGTAAAAGTATCTCGGCAACATACGGTAATCATTGTCATATTTTATACTAGCAATGGCTTTGCGCTTGTATTAAATTAACATTTCAGATGATATAAAATTTTTCATACACACTCCCGAACTTTATTTTGATTTTGTGAGAATTTAATTTAGAGTCAATTTACGAAGAAAATTCAAATATAAATTACTTCAAAGCAAATTTTAACCTTTAATGGGTTTATTCTATTATAAAAAAATATAGATGTAAACATTTTTTGTTATAACGATACAAGGCCAAGGCTCGAACCGGGGACCACAACGCCTTACATTGCACTTTGTATGTATATCTGGCTTTAGATGATGTGCGTAACGCTATTATCACTGGTTTGGGTCCCTTCTGTATCATAAGAATTTTCAATCCAAAATACATTTAGTCTATACATATAACTTTGTTGACTGTGCGTCTCGGCTTCGTCAGCCGCTTATATTGGGCGAAACTCGATCCAGCTTATTTCATACAAACAGTCTTGAGTAACTTTTCTCAAGCTTGGCTAAACTAAAGAAGTTTATATCAAAGTTATAGATACATATTACTTTAACAATAATAGCTGCGTTGGTCTAGTGGTTGAAGATCTCGACTGTAGATCACGAGGTCCCCGGGTTCAAATCCCCTGTCAGACAGCATTTAATTTTTAACATCATCCCAAAGTTTAAAAATCGCCGTTAACACGTCGCGCCTCTGAGAGCGCGAAGTTAAAGCCCGCCAATCCGCACTGGATCAGCGTGGTGGGTTATCTACTAGTTATCAACACATGTTTATGTGAGTTGTACACATTAGATAAATACACGGCTTTAACGTGATTTAAAACGCGATATATACTATTTAAATAATTTTTAACTACGGCCCGAAAGTATCCGACTGTGTACGGATTTTAACACAGCTATATTTCGCGTTTCGAACCGTTAACCGTTTTTTTATCAAGTTTCATAAGAACACTCCTTGAGAATTTATTATACAGCTATAACCAAATCTACATTGCAGCACCGATGGAAAGCCCCACCTCTCGGCCACGCAGCTAGTGGACTTCCTCAACGAGGTCCAGAGAGACCCTCGCCTCAACGAGATCCTTCACCCGTATGCTGACATGCAGCGGGCTAACGACCTAATCAGGACTTACGAGCACAACAAGTACCATCAGCAGCGGTCGCAACTCACTTTCGATGGCTTCTTGAGGTGAGTTTTCATACTGAGATATAGAGTTTCAGATAGAACAGCTGTAAGAATAAGATTTGGTCAGGTTCAAATGCCGAATTATAATTATTATGAAATGATACTAAGGCACATCAATTGTTTTTGATTTTCCTTATTCGAAGACTGTTAGATTATCTACCATTCGAATTTAACAACCTGCTTTGACGGTCATTTATTGAATAAATCCCATATGAGATCTTTAAGTGTTTAGTTTTTTTAACTGTATTAATATATTTAAATAAAACACGTTAACGGTTTAAAACGCGATATATTAGTTAAACTTATTTGAAAATAATTTTTAACGCCTCCCCGTGACCACGGCTGCTGCAAAGCATCCGAAACGTCGGGCCGAAGTTAAAAATCATTTTCAAATAAGGTTAACTAATATATCGCGTTTTAAACCATTAAAGTGTTTTATTTAAATGTGTACTAGTCGCGTAATTTATAGACAGTATTTGTATTAATATACTTTTAAAATTCACTTAAAAGACAATGTGGCCAATAGACAAAAGGTATAAGACGGTAAATTTCACTAAAAATTATATTAACGATAGCAAAACCCACGTCTGTGTGCGTAGTCACGCACTCATTAATCGTTTGTCAGCAATATTTAAATTGGCATGTTGACAACACTCCTGAACGATTGTTTTCAGCAGAAGCGCGTTCAATTATAGCCTGAACCTCTCGAAATATCAGCTTCGGTTTCAGTATTTATTGCATATTCCGTTTTATACACGATTCAAAATTCATAGTTGACGACGCAGGTGGAAATCGAATCCTCAACACATAGTTGGGGCAGTGTTAGTCTGTGTCCGAAAAATGGGTTCAAACTTCGATTCTCGCCGGATGCAATATGTTTGTAAATCATGTTTTGATTTTCCTAGACATTTTAGACCCGACTGGAAATTTCGATGTTCTCTTATTCAGGAAAAACCTTCTACAGTTAATCCGCCGTTTAAAGCCAAAAAATACGTCGACAGAGTATATTAATTATTAGTACTATAATAAGTAAACCATATTCTTGTCTGTCCTCTGTTATAAATAAAAATGCGTGTAGATTTTAGATTACATTAAAATACTTATTTAAATGAAATATTTTAACGGTTTAAAACGCGATATATTTTTAGTTAAGTTTGTATGAAAATTATTTTTAACTACGGCCCGACCGCGACGTTTCGAGTGCTTTACAGCAGCCGTGGTCACGGGGAGACCGTAGAAGCTTATCTAAAAATACATCGCGTTTTAAACCGTTAAAGTTTTTTATTTAAATGTGTACTACTCGCGTAAACTACAGACAGTATTTCATTAAAATACTTTTTCAATATTTGACTGCACCTCGTATTGCACATGATGGCATTTTATAACTTAAAAATCAATTTCAGACGACACTAGCGGGATTTGAACGGACATCCACAATGTTCCTCCACAGTACACGGTAGCTCAATTGATCGAGTAAACAGCACGGAATTTTTTTTATCTATCAATCGTTTTTTAATTTCCTTTTTAAATTCAATCTAAGTTATTGTACATCATTGAAAACCCCCTTCATTAGTTCCGCCGATGTCTCTCATTCTAGTTTTAACATAATATAAAATAAATTGTTTTTCAAACAGCCCTCACTGAAGTTTGAATCATATATTAATAAAGTCGGCTTAACTGGAATGAGGATTGTAGACGCATGTTATATAAATTACATTGTGGATATATATTTTAGGGTCCATGCTTCATTTAACGAACCCCTGGGAAAGATAAGCCGGGTGGGCCCGGTATGTTTATAAACGATTATTTTAGGTACATTTACGCAGTCCTTTTCTTATATGGATCGAATTTAATTAGGTTTTTGTTGTAATAGGTCTGCGTAAAAAAAAGTTAAATATAATCTTTTTAATATATTATGTAAGGCTTTCGGCATCATTGTTCTTAAAACAAACGAGAAGCTGATATCTCCTGATGATGCCGTCCGCTCGTGGTGGCGAAACGTCGAGAACCTCTTCTCGCTCACGTCGGCCTAACAGCCCGAAAACAATATGATAATCTTTATTGTTGCTAGTGATGGTGGTTTAAAGATAAAAAAGATATTGGTAAAAGTTACAATCCGTATTAGGTTATTTATATAAATATGAAATTTTAATTTAACTGGCCAAGCGTGAGTCGGACTCTCGCACGAAGTGTAAGGTACCATTAAGTGGGTTTTTAATTGAACCCTTTTTAGTTATTTCAAGTACTGGTATCTTTTATTGATATGGAAAATGCAAGCATGCAATGCAGCAATGCGCTTTTAGTATAGAAGCCCCTTTAAATTTCTAAATCTTTTAAATTTTAAAGCTAAAAAAGCTGTAGATAGGCTGGTGGAGAAAGACAGCGTTAACCCTTTTCTTACCGAACCATAAAAATTATGTGTAAGTCAAAATTATATCAATATTATAATGAGAATCGATAGCAGCATTTTGCCCTGATTCGCTAAGTCTAACCAAGAATTATACAAACGCTAAAATATATTTCGTACATTGTATTTGTATACTTAACAAATTAAATAAAATTCTTATCGGTTTAAAACGCGATAAATTTATTAGCTAAACTTGATCACGTGACCACGTCTTTAAACCGTTAAATTTTTTTTTAATGCTTACTACTCGCGTCCACTAACGACAGTATTTACTTAACAAATATTATTCCCACCAGGTTCCTCATGTCTGAAGACAATCCAATAGTGGCGCCTAACAAACTGGACCTATGCGAAGACATGGATCAGCCGTTGGCCCACTACTTCATCAACAGCTCGCACAACACCTACCTGACTGGCCACCAGCTCACCGGCAAGTCCAGCGTTGAAATATACAGGCAGTGCTTGCTGGCCGGATGCAGGTGGGACCTCATTTGTGAATAATATATATAAGCTATTTATAAGCTTGTGGTTTATCAATAGGTTAAGGCTGTTAAAAGTTGCGGGTTGTTATTTTTAACTATGATGAAATTAACATAAAAATATTAAGAAAATTATTATAATGTAAAATATATACAGACCTAAATTGAAAACAAATGTCGATGATGTTAAGTGAGATCCGAAAGTCAGAATGACAATTAATGTCAAGGTTTGTTACTACCTTACATTTATAATATAATCATATGATTATTAAAGTATTACTAACGGTTTAAAACGCGGAAGGTTAGTTTACTTATTTACACTACAATTACAGACTTGCAAATACCAGCTACGAAACAGGTGGCGCTAGCGTAGCAGTTTTTTACTTTGACGTTAGAGACATCCTCCATCTTTAGACCCCCGTGACGACAGCTACTGCAAAGCATTCGAAACGTCGGGCCGTAGTTAAAATAAATTGTTAATAAGTTAGTATATTTCGCGTTTTAAATCGTGAAAATAACCTTTTATTTTACTCTGTATAATAGATATGATAATTGCAAATTAGAATATATATAATTATCAATTAGATAATTAAATCTAATTTGTTTTTCGGGCTGTTCGGCCGACGTGAGCGAGAAGAGGTTCTCAAAAAGGTCGGCCGAAATGATATGCTGAACGATGGCCGTGAAAGCCTTACACAATTTGTTGAATCTTTTTTAACTTTTAAAATTACTATATTTTTTTATTATATACAACACATAAGTCTAATTTCTTATAAGTAGAGACAAAAGCTTTTGTTCACTTACACGCCGCCAATACTCAAGCATATTATAATGACACCACTTTTTCCCGTTTAAATAAAATTTATGATTAAAATTAGTAGCAGCTCGGCCTCGTAATCCGTTATTAAATGCGAAGGAGAGGAAAATGAAAGAGCAGTATGTTTTTCATTAATTATAAATACGGCCCGCGTTACGTCGTGTTTGATCTTTTTAGCGATTGTTTGTTTTCCATTAATATCGGGAGCGACGCCTAAAAATAACCTTCGTTACTTAACGTCTCAATTTTTTTATCAGCGTTTGCGACTATATTTAGTTGCAAGAAAGTTCAAAATCTCAAATACCTCGATCAACTACTCGCTCGTTCCAATCTCAATAAGATTTGAACCCATAAAATATACGCGATCATGAAACACGTCTTACGTTACCTTTGTAAACTAGCATTGTATCTATATCTTGCTATCTCCCGCAATATCTTTAATTATATATTTCTCTGAGGTGTTCCGAATTAACGATTGTTTGTATGATAATATTTTCGGAAGACCTGAAATATTCAGTTAATTTATTTTAATTAAATTTTATAACCTTAGCCATTAAAATCAAGAAACACCTTTATTGATTTTTAGTAAAGAAAATAATAGAAGGTATAAATATATGAAGTACCTACTTATACCTATATTATTTAAATTTTATATAAATGTGTATGACTTGCGTAAACTACAGATAAGATGTAATAGGTACTTATTACACTTTTCTTCTGCCTTTTGACCGCCTCTGTAGCGAAATGGTTAATCGTGGTTACTATATCGAAGCCCAGGAAAACAAAAAATGTTTCGGTCGGGCAGGGCACAGAAGTCTGATCAACTACTTGCCTGTTAAAGAACGGATCAGTGTAACGGACACAAACATTTATTGTGTTCGCCCCATCCCCCACGAGGGTAATGGGATTTCACTTATAAACACTTTTTTTCTAATCTAACTACCACCCAAACACTGTATTTTCTTTTTTTGGCTTTAATTGAATAAATAACCTAACGGTACCCGGTCATATTTTCTCCCCAAAATTTCCTAAATTAATGCTCTTCTAATGCCGTAACAAATTAATATTAATATCTACGCTATCGAGCGTCAAACGTTAATGACTAAAGTAAACATGAAGTGTAAACACGTCGAGAGAATGCGATTTTGAGTTCCGTATGGGAATAAAAAATCATCTATGAATGTTAACTGCATGCAGCTTGAGTTAGTTCGTTGTTTTTTATACAAGTACAAACGAATCTGAGTTTCCGAGGCAAAGGATTCGTGTTCCGCTCGTTTTGAAACCTTAAATACAACTCACTTTTAAAGATCTCGGTGGCTTTTTACAAGGGATATTTTCGCGGTGGCTAGAAGAATTGGAAATACTAAAATTTCTGGAATTTGAAATCTCTTGGAAATACCTTGGTTACTTGACTAGGCGCAAGACCCAAGGAGTTGCATGACATAAAAAGATGAACATTCGCATTACATTTGTCAATAAAGGAAAAAAAAAATGTTCTTAATGACAAGTGTTTGACTACGGAATCCTAAAATCATACACACGCCGACTGTATTTTTATTAGCGTCGATGCCAGCTGTAGATAAAACACCTGCTCGTCGCTACGAATTTGTCAGTCAATCGCAGTGTGATTCAAGTTTGTTGGATATCTCTAACATTTTTGTAAGTCATACGGGACATTCCGAAGTAAAGGAAATCTTCATTCTATTGGCAGTTAAATCAAAGTGTCAATAATAATACGTGCTCGTTTTATGAAGGGCTAGAAGAAAAAAAACATCGACAATAAGTCTACTTGCATAACGTCCGCAGCTAAAAAAGCCACGGGGTTTAATCGCGCTACAGTTCCAGTCTGTGGATTTCCGAATATACAAAGTCAAAATAGATCTAAAGCGTATTTTGTTGATGGAATATAGCTGGGATATTTCATATACCATTAAATGTATATATTTACAATCGCATAACACATAACTTAAATGTATAGATACATTCATTAGTGCTCATAGGAAGCTGATACAGAACTATGAATACGTTTATTTTAAACCATCAAAGAGAAACAGGTCCATTTCAATTTAATTAATTCACTTTGTCAGCGTATATTGTACGGCGCGCGAACTAGAATTTGCTCGCAAAATTCGCTGACGCTAAATTTGTTTGGACTTGAATATGTTTGTTACTATCATCATACAGATTGCAGATACTTTAACGATAAATAAGCTCTAACTGTAAAAATTGTCGGGCTATTTGCGTGAAAGCATAACTAACAGAATAATATTATAATACATAGTAGATTTTTACGTCAAGTTCCATTTATCCTATCACAAACAATTTTTACTTATACATTAGGACGTTGAAAAGCAATTTGTTTTTGAAGAGGATGCAGGATTGCAGAGTATGTATAAAGTAGCGGTTAAAAACTTTAAATGTAGTAGTCGTAAGTACTTATATATTTCGCGTTTTAAAGTGTTTTATTTAAATGAAACTCGCCTAATCTGCATACAATACTTAACATTATAATATTAAATTAAAATTACATCTCAACGTTACAAAGCCATTAAAGTATATTGACAGATGTAGTAAGTAGAATGTTTCTAATGGTGAAAATTGTTTTGAACAATTTAAAAAAACTATAGATATTTACGTGTGAGAAACGGCAGCCCAATTATTTAAAGCAGTAGCACAAAACGCTGTACACGCCGGTTCCGATCCAGTTCGTGTTATTTTTCCGAACTAAATAGTTTTTAATATCAATTATTATTAACTCTTGAAATCGGTATAGTCGTTTTTGAGGTAATTCGTTACAAACAAATTCACAAAAATAAACGATACTTATGACTAAGGTAGTAAAACTTTCTAAATTGTACTAATCTACGCTTATCCTAAATGCAGGTGTGTCGAGTTAGACTTCTGGAACGGGCGGACAGACGAACCAGTAATCGTCCACGGCTACACCATAGTGCCGCAAATCAACGCTCGCGAAGTGCTGGAAGCGATCGCCGAGAGCGCCTTCAAGACTTCCGACTACCCGGTGATTCTCAGCTTCGAGAACCACTGCAATCCTCGCCAGCAAGCCAAGATAGCGAACTACTGCAGGGACATATTCGGAGACAAGTTGCTGGATAAGCCGCTGGACTCGCACCAACTCGAGGCTGGTGAGAAGTCACAACTTATCATCTTTATTTTCCCCTTTGCGGGACAGAATATAGAACTTCTCAAAGGTCAACACTGCCTCTTACCACAGGACACATAAGCGGTCGTGGCTTTTGAGAAACCGAAAGAGAATGTTATTAACGGTTTAAAACACATTAAAGTGTTTTATTTAAATGTGTACTACTCGCGTAAACTATAGACATATCTTATGATTCTTTTCGCCATTTTGACAGAAAATGTATTTTCATAAATACATGTATGTACGAATGCGTAATTGCTCACGATGATTGTTCAAAAAATCTCTGAGGTTCATTGGTTCGATGCCTTTAAATAAAGACATGAAAATTTACATTAAAGTTATTGGTTTAAAAGTTTGCGACGAGGCTTATAACTTAGAGTTACTGTAAGTTGGTTGTTTAAGTTTTAAGACCCGCAATAAAAGTTCATCTGAATTTTTTCTTAAAAATTATTATTAGAGCAAAACTAGCAAGACTTTGAACTTGTAAAGATTATTGCTTGTAGTATTAGCATAATATCAGTTGCGGGATGTAATAAAATTCGATATTATAAAATTTTGCAAGGCTGGGTTTAAAACCCACTTTAGATCATCATTGATTTTTTAAGCAATCATTTACAATAACGTGGTTTACTGACTAGTTAAATCGTTATTCAAGGAGGAGAACTGCCACCACCGTCGCTGTTAAAGAATAAGATAATAATAAAGAACAAGAAGAAACATCACCATCACCATAAAAAGGAGGAGAGTGTTGTAGTCGAAGAGAGCGACACGCAGGTGCCTCAGGGAAATGGCGAGGTGGCGCACGGATTGGTAAGACGAGATAGAGTACTAAACAAGAGAAGCAAATGTGTTTAGTTCCTATTAAACGTGAATCATTATTTACAAGACCTATGTTAGAACCTATGCTTTCCTACAATGTTAATATTTCTCCAATTCCTTTGATATTTTTATGATGGTAGGTGAATACCTCAGCCATATAAAATCTAAACAAGATGCGATGTTGACCTGTTTCGGTTTTGGATATTCGGAACTACACTGATTAAAATCGAAACGCGATTAAAAGTCACGGCTTTTAAATAAAACACTTTAACGGTTTAAAACGCGATATACTAGTTAAACTTATTTGAAAATGATTTATGCAGCAGCCGTGGTCACGGGGAGATAATCCAAATAAGTTTAACTAATATATCGCGTTTTAAACTGTTAAAGTGTTTTATTTAAAAGCCGTGTACTACTCGCGTAAACTATAGACAGTATTTAGTCACGGCTTTTTCATTTATGAACGATGGTTCGTGAGTCGGACCCGAATTTCATAAATGAAAAAGTTTCCGAAAAATTATAAATTAATCAGAAATCGTATTGGCTCCAGTGAGTATCTTACGGCCCGTTTATTATTATTATCATTAGTCAAATATTATATATAAATTAAACATTTATCTAGATTGAAAAATTGAAGACACGTTCCTAAATAATTTATTTTTTCATTAAAAAGATTTTCTTTTTTTCTATAGCTTGTACGTCAGAACTCTAAAGAGTCCATCGAATCCTCGGAGAGTGAAAGCTCAAGCGAGGAGGAGGGAGCGGGGGGAGCTGGAGACGTGGGCGGTACTGCGGAGGAGGCACGCGAGAGCCACGCTGCAGCCGAGATCTCTGCTCTCGTCAACTACGTTCAGCCAGTTCATTTTACGTCTTTCGAAAACGCTGAGAGTAAGTAGAGTTATAAATCGAAGCTGAAGTATTTCAAGGAATATAAATAATACTTTTGATGATACATGATTCGAAATCACGTTAAAAATAGTTTTTCACTGTTCAAGTTTACTTGTTTTAATCTTCCACGACCAATATTTTTCGTTAAAAGTATTTTTAAACATTTGAAGACATTGATGTCTTAACAAAATTTACAGAGAAGAACCGCTTCTACGAAATGTCGTCCTTTGATGAGAAACAAGCCACCACCTTGCTGAAAGAGCGTCCTATTGAGTTCGTGAACTACAATAAGCACCAACTCTCGAGAGTGTATCCGGCGGGTACTAGATTCGATTCCTCGAATTTTATGCCTCAGGTATATTTACTTTATTAACATTTTATATAACGTGTAGATATTTTAATATACCTTGTAAATAATTAATTATTATAGGTGATTTCTTGTTATGATAAAGAAGGACAGAAGGAATGCGAAAATCTTTCCACCTATTTTGGCTTTAGATTTCAGACATTCACAGATTGCAACCTATACGTGATTCCACTTCGCTTTTTTATTTGGGACCGGGACGAAATTTTGATATTCCTACCATCCATTTAATATCAAGACGAAATCCAACTTGTTTCAGAAAAAAATATAGATTGGTGAAACATGGTCTCGTTCCCACGACCCGGTGCTCATTAGCCATAAATTGCTACTAGACCACGACCAATATACCATTGAAACTTAAGAAAAGGATGGATATATGTGTTTTAATTTTAAAAAATCTCGTCGATGTCTCCAGGTGTTTTGGAACGCGGGATGTCAGCTGGTGGCTCTGAACTACCAGACCTTGGACTTGGCGATGCAGCTTAATCTAGGCACCTTTGAGTACAATAGGCGGTGTGGTTTCTTGCTGAAACCGGAATTTATGAGAAGGAAGGTTAGAATCTAATAGTTTACTTTAATGGAATATTGCCATCGACTATTTTAAAATGCATTAAAGCCATAATTATCACGTTTTAATCCGTTATAGTAGATTTTAATATAAAATGGAATAGATAAAGAGAATTAAACATTTTCTTACCATATTATATTACAGGATAGGCGGTTAGATCCGTTCGCGGAGAGCACAGTGGACGGCATTATAGCGGGTTCGTTGTCCGTCAGTGTCGTATCCGGCCAGCTGTTGACGGACAAGCGTTGCGGGACTTATGTGGAGGTGGATATGTTCGGGCTACCGGCTGACACCGTTCGCAAGAAATTCCGGACTCGAGTGGTGCCCAACAACGGCATCAATCCAGTGTACGGGGACGAGCCGTTTGTTTTCAAAAAGGTTAGATATTGAACCAACCAAGTGCGAATGGCGTCGAGCTCGACGGGTTTCGTACTATTGACTAGGAACATAATTTTGTATGGTAACACATTATTTTTTTCAAGTTCAAGGGGAAACATGCATTTTGTATGCCTTTTTATACATTTTTTTTTATTATTAGTAGGAATTGTTACTTTTCTCTGAGATATTTTGGTTCTTGAAACACGACCTAGACAGACAACAAATATTTTTTGCCTTTTACAACCTAAAAGGCCAGTTAGGTAATCGGTTTTCTGTACCCTGCTCGATCGAAACGATTAAACTTAAGAAAGATACCACTTGAAAAAAATGTTCTTTGATTAGATTTGAACACAATCTCAACTAAAAATAATGTCTTTTTAAATGAAAAAAATCATCCGTCCTGTTGCTTTGAATGCTGTGGATGCCGATTGAAGACCCGCCCGTGTCGTATCTTTTTCCATCTAAATAGTATTTTATTTATATAATGCCATCATTTGCAATAGTATATAAAAAACATTAAAGTTTTCAAATGTCTGATTAACTGTTCAGTTCGACTGTATAAATGTCAGAAGTGTCAGAAGTCAGAAAAATAATTTACCTAGTACGCAGACATTACTTTTATTCTAATTGTTATTGTGTATTACAAATATTCATACATATTATTCCAGGTTGTCCTACCAGAACTGGCGATGTTGCGTATATCCGCGCACGAGGAGAGCGGCCGTCTCCTGGGCCACCGCGTGCTGCCCGTACCGGGGCTTTGCCCCGGCTACCGCCACGTGGGACTTCGCACGGAGCTGGGCCAGCCCACGGGCGCGGCTCTCCTTCTGCACGTGCAAGTCAAGGTGAACGTGCGACCTCACTATGTAAGCGTGCACCACACATAGTCGACTCACCCTGTATGTGCTCTGTGGATCGGGAGGTTTCGATGTGACGTACAATATAATTTAAGACTCCTAATAGGTCGATTCAACTGAAACAATGTGTGGAGCTATCGAGTTGCAGGAAAAGGTTTGGAACGCACTTTCAGTTCACTTTTTTTCTTAAGTGTCAACTTTGATCATATATACCCTAAATATAAGTCATGGCTTAGTTCTATAATCATATATTTTTTAAAAACTCTTTCTTGTTAAATAAATAATGTTTTTTTCTAGTTAGTTCTGCAGTAGCCTTATCACGTGTTGTACATTATTTTTGACACGTTAAAACGTAATTGTTAATAAAACTTGATAGTAATACTACCATCAAGCTTATGTATATTTAGTATTGTATATAGTATCGTATATATGAGCCGCTTATTTTGAAAGTGGCCTAACTCCATTTATCTTTAAATCGAGATATTGAAAGTTTGGCGTTTCAATGATTTTATAAATATAAAATTAAGCGTATCTAAGGATATTAAATTTAAGGTTCCTATTAAAATAGTGGCAATTATTAAGTAAATGAGTGGTTTTCTTAGAATCGAGTTGGGCCACTTTCGAAATTAACAGCTAGGTTCCGTATAAAATTTGAAAGGGACCTTCAAATTTTCCATTTAATATAATTTAAGATTTTCAAATTGAAAAAAAGAAAAGAATACTGAATTTTTCTGCATAAGTGAAAACACTGAAAGAAAGAAACATATTTTTATATTTTTTAAAGAATTTTTCCGTTTTTAGAAATTTAACAAATATCTTAAACTAAAATTTCTTGGTGATCCTTTTCCGTTTGTTGACTTTTTCACAATTTAGTTTTATATTAATTAAACTACAGGTTAACGAACTATCGAATTGTCCCAAAAATAAGTTAACTTGTAATAGTAATTATTATTTTCTCTGAATATAAGAATCTGAAGGGTCACTGATAGATAATAGTTGTACAGTAACATGGTAGGAGATAATTGAAAAACGGAAGGTATTTAAAATATTGGCATATAGTATGAATCTTTATAGTGTTATACTATGCACTATATGTTTTTTTATAGTGATTTTTGTTGCTCTTGTATCTAAGGTATATATTATCAAAGCATTCAACGTGAAAGAGGCAAAAAAGTAAGTTCTAGTCTAGTTCTATGCTTAGCACCGCCTGCTTCACTTCGAAGGATCTTCTAGAGTTTGGCTTTTTCCGTCACTAAAAGATGTGTTTGTAATTAACTACGCTTTTTAAGGTTTGCTTTTTAATATGGAATTTCTTTCTTATATTTTTATACACATACCTGAGAATACCTTTTTGTTATTTATTATTATTTTATAACTTTGCATTATTTCCTTTTTTAAATTATTATGCACCTTTTTGCACTGCAATGGAGTTTTTGTTTAATTTGGTGTCACAAAAAATCACAAGGTTACAACTATGAATGGTCTTTATTCAATACATGTTATCTATTAGTTGCTAATAAAATGTTTTAATAACAGGATTACGTACCAGACCGGCTGTCGGAGTTAGCTGAGGCTTTGGCGAACCCAATAAAATACCAGAGCGACATGGAGAAACGAGCTCATCAACTCGCCGTGTTGACAGATGAGACTGACGAGCCGCCTTTAGACCAGACTATAAAGAGACCGCCATCTGCCGTCCCCGTGGGTATCTTAACTAGATGCGATATTTTTTTCCCACAACTTTACTTATATTGAAATGCGGTACTAAAAGTGAATAAACTCTTAGCACTGGGGTATTTGTTGGGCCTGTGGAATGCAAATAGTATAACATATATTGTTCTATTCTTGGGCCCCAAGCAAGTGCTAGTAAAAACTTAACAAATATAAAGTACGTATGAAATCCCGGTTTCCTTGTAGGGTATCGGTTGAACGCATTTATATGTCCGCTCCCGCTCCATATTTACAGATCAGCAGTTGATTAGACGTTTGTGTCCTGCCCAACCGAAACAATTTATTACCAAGACAAGATTGGCAGCTTCTTCTTCATCAATAATAATTGAATTGCGGACGCAGCCATTTAATATGAAATAGATAATAAAAAAATTAAACGCTCATCATAAAAATCATTCACGTCCGTTCTAGACTCCCAGGCCAGATAGTGGAAGCGAGGTCAGCCCCAAGAAACCGAACAGCGTCGAAGTGAAACCTAACGACGTTGAACCACAGTTACCCGACAGTGAAAAGCCACCAGATAAGGGTATATTGCCTTCTATTCATACAATAATTAAAACCTTTTAAATTATGGTATAATACTTCCTAGTAACTCCTCCATATAAAAATGGCTAGTTATTTTGTCGCAAAATAACCTTTTTAAAAGTAAAAAAAATGTTCTATTATATTATTTATCAATTTTAATTACAAACTCTTTTCTATCAGAATTGACGAAAAGTATGAATAACCAAAATAAAATAAAGTATAAGAACGTCATAGATAGCACCTAGTTCTTGCTCAAATATACTATTTACTAATCTTAATATACCTACTGTATAATTATGTCTTCTATACAGAAGAACCTCTGAACAAATGGAACGGAAGCAGCACAGAAGCCAATGTCGAAGAGACCCTCAGAACTCTGCTCGAGAGCAAGGTCGTACGTGAAAAGAGAGCGGAACTCGGCCGTAAATTGGACGCGCTGAGAAAGAAACAGACCCGAGCCAAGCCGGGTCCTACCAAGTTCTTTGCTAAGAGAATATCTATAAAAAATATGTGAGCATTACCTTTTTTCTATAAAATTTATTTGATACGAAGCTACGGTAATTTGAGTGATATTCTGTGACTACGTTGTTATAGTGACTTAGTATATATCCTAGTCACGCACTGCTGTACAGTCAACGTGAACATGGCATTTACTTATGTCCGAAAGAACCCAGTTTTTGTTTGTGTGTCTGTGATCGTCCTTGCAGGCGCTACGTAAATAAAATGCTTACAAATTTTGACAGCAAAAATGGTGCAGGTGCCGTTCGATCATTATTTGCAACGCGTAGTAAATACATGTTTCCTGTCAGGAGCGAACAGAGCGTCACCTCTGAGGAGGGCGGCAGCGCCTTCGAAGGGGTCGTCGGCGGCGCGGAGGGGGAGAGGAACCTTCGGCTGCAGTTCCATCATTCGATCTTCGCCGCTCTCGAAAAGTTGCTGCGCAACGAACAACATCAGCAAATGAAGGAGCTCACTGTTTGTAGACTATGATTTCTTAGATGTTCCTATATAAACGAATGTTTTACACATTGATCTTCCCTTCTTATTATTATAATTTTTTAAAACCATGTACTCGACCCGGCTAACTGTACAATGAGTTATGATTTAAAGTCAGTTTTAACAACATTTTTAAATGTTAAACTTCACCTCTGTTTAAACCATTGATCCAATAATTAAAAAAAAAAACTTTAGTTACCAACAAAACACTAGCCTTCGTAAATCCTACAAATACATATTTTAAGACTTAAAATATTTAAGAATTGCTAGTAGAGCAAAAGTTAACGTAAGCATATTTACAGGAGAGTCTTGAGGTTAAGAAAAAAGAAGTTCTAAATCGTCTAGCGATCTCTCGGAAGGAGGACGTCAAGGCATTAGCGAAGACAAACCGCGATAAAGATGAGATAGTGAGACGTAAGAGGGAAATACATACTGAGGTAATTAAATGGATTTTATATTTTAATTAGGATTCTTGTTCAATTCAGAGATTTCTTAAAAGTGATAAAAGTTTTTCTAGTATGATCATGTTCTGAAATGTTTCAGTCTGTGAAACGCGGCGTAGCTGAGTGCTCTAAACTGGAACTGGAGCACACGCGACTCTGTCAACAGCTGGCGCACCATCACGAGAAACTGCGCACTGCCTTGCAGAAGTACCGCGAACAGGTCAGTCTTACTCACTTTACTTACTTTAAATTACTTAAAAATTAAAGTATGTGAAATATAATATTTATGACTGAGACTGTATGAAAAAGTCGAGGGCACAGTTGTGACTCAACCCCACAACAAACTTCAGGTTTTATTATGTTGTCTTGTCGCTTTATATTTTTATTCATACTACATTTCATTCTTGTCCTTGGTGCATTGTACTTTCAACCTTCCTGCTTATATATTTATAAACAATTTTCTATGCTTTTCAGCTTAAGGACAATTCAAATACTCTTCAATTTATGTAAGCTCCCAATCGTTGCAGTCCTATGACTGAATGTTGTTGTAAAAGCAATAAATTGATAGTGGTTGTAAAAGTCAGTAGTTATGTTATGTAAAACAGAGTGTTTGATGTATTTTTCAGGAGCTACTAGAATTGGAGCGATTGTGTGGAGGAGTGCCCGAAGGCTAATGGATTCTGCTTTAGTTCTGCTGACATTTGAATGTCCTGGTTTCACTGTTGCGGCCCCAGGGTAGACGCGTTGGGGCCCCAAAGACAGCTCAGAGTTGTATTGAAAGCCTCTGTTAAGACTTGTAATGTTGTAGCGTTCTAATCTATCTGAGTGATTTCAACATATATTCTCCAATGTTGGAATCTTAGCTTTACCTCTGAAAGGCGGTGGGGCCCGGCCCTTAATTATTTCGTGTTAGGGCCTCATCATGCCCCAAAACCTGAAGCCCCAATGTCTTGGCGTGCGTTGACTGCGAGTGTTGTTTCGTTTAGGAATCTGTGATATTAACTCCTAAGTAGAATGCGTTGTGCGTGCGCGTTGCGCGTGCGCATTCGATGCAAGACGCCATTAAACAATCACGCTGCATAAAATATACTTCTGTTACTGTGTTGTTGATGTCCTGTTTCATAATGAAATTATATTAATAGACGATCCTAGAATAGCATTTACGTACCGCACAATAGATAACACCAAATTTATTAGACTTACAATGTGTGAGCGATTCTAAATGTATAGAGTTTTACTAAAACGCGTTCAAGGATAGGTTGTCACGAAATTTCAAAATCTGGCAAGTGCGAGTTGGTCTCGCGCACAGATCTCTCTTTTATTTCTATAAAAGCCGTACGGAACTCTAAAAATACTGCAGTAATCGAACTATACGAATTAGTTTATCGATATGTACAGTGGAATCTCAATGATCCGAATGTCAAGGGAAATGCAAAAAAGAACAAATTTTCGACTTAACAAGATTACGCAAACACACAAATAATACTGATGGACAAACTCTGCTTAAATTAATCGTTTCTTCATGACATGGAACAAACATAATTTTCACATCCGTGTTACTTAGAAAGTCCAGAAATGTATTCATTCTTTGTACACGTTACTTCGAGAAATTCCAAGTAAGACGTCATTATACTTTCCTAACTACGACTTACGGAGTTTCCTTTTTGAAATCCTTATATGTATTATCGATACTTTCGTAGGGATATAATATTTTGTTCCAGTTACAAAGTCTGAATGATTCGTGAAATCGCGTATTTACGCATTACGAAATGGCGCTTGTGTTCGAGTTACCGAGGTTCGAGTTATAGAAATTCCACTGTACTTCTTGGGAATCTCCAGTTCGATAAAATATACAGAGTTCAGTAAGGTAAGGAAAATCGGTGACAGCACAAATTGGTAGCGCAGTACTAATTGTATTTACGAAGATATATTACCTTTCGTATCCTTATTGTTTGACCCTTATGCACAATAATAATACAACCTCTATAACTAGACTGTATTAGAATACTTTTGCCCACTAGAGTCATCTAGCGGTCATTTACGAAACTCAATATTTTTTCAGTCTGAATAAATTCAAATTGCGAATCTGTTTTTTTAAAGTCTTGCCAGTTAGGAGAAATTTAAATAAAATAATTAGAAGTGTATTTGTGCACTGGTCTTGCCTAGAAAAGAAGAATTTCTTAAAACTAATTTTCGTTACGCACAAATTAACAGAAAAGCACTAATTAATTTTGATAATTTACATTGTCGCGCAAAAGCATTTTTAAAACGCTAAAAGAAACCCTCTTATTTATTTTAGTTCGATCAGGTATATAGGTAGGTAGGTTTAGGCATACATGAGCACTCAACTTGAATTTATCTCGAAAGTTTATTAGTTATTTAGCTACTTTTTATTATTCTACAAATTGAATGATTGCTTAAAGAATACGATTGGTTGTATTCAAACATTCCAGCGCGTATAATTGAATTGGTGCGATGCGCAATTAACATAAACTTACGCAAAACCACTTGACGTATTTCGAACTACTTATCCTATTATAAAGGTTTGTAAATAATAAGGACAATCGTATCGTGAAGAGTGCCATACTTTCGCCTTTCTTACAATGTTATTCGAACTGATTACTGTAAACTAGTTGTTTCGAGTGTATTTTCTGATGATACTTTGATGTCTTTAGATGCGTTTATTATAGAATTCAAAACAGGGATTCTATCCTTAATTATATTATAGTGTAGTGTTGCAGTAATTAAGACTCGGCCACCTACCTCTTATAAGTAAAAGAAAGCTTTCCTGGATATCCACACAAACATAGGTCGACTCTCTATCATAAAATTGCTCCCACGAAAATGAATGAAACTCTCAATAGTGACGTCATATTCTTAATAGAATTGTGAGTTATTTAAACAACTTGTTTAATTTTATTGGTGGCCAAAATATAAAGTTAAACATGATAAAATAGTGTTAATCGCAGTTATAAGTAGTTTGTGAAATGCATCCTGTTCTTGCCTTGAAAATGATATTGATATTAGTATTAGTTACGGTTAGAAAGTATGGTTAACTAATCTTAGAGAAGTAAAGGCCTATTTCCTCACTTGTTTAACACTTGTCGAAAGTTGGTAATATTTAACTTGGCTCCGGTGATTCTCTCATTTCAGACGTAGTTATGAATTAATCTTTATTAATAAAATATTCAAAAGTTAAACTCTTGGATCGCGTTGAGAGCTCTGACTTGCTCTGAAAATGTCTATTAAAAATATTTGCAGTATTTAACGTTTAAATAACTTACCTATAATAAGTATATTAATAATTTCACTGATATATTTTGTAATGAAAAAGGGGATCCTCCTTTTAGATCAAAGTTGTTTTACATTCAGCAGGGTAACGATATTTGCTTTACACTAGGTTCATATACAATAATGCAATATTTTAATCAGAATAGTTTCGTACCAATTTAAGCACAGCTTCTCATTTATAGCACACTATCGCCACTAAATCAGTGACGATAACCGAGACCGATGGCTTTACGTGCTCTACGAGACAAATAGAATACTAAATAGTTGATTATTTTGCTTTTTTTTTAAGTAAAGGACATTTCGATATATGATCGCAGTCCTACGCTTCTTTACAACTTTGATCAAGTCCTCCGTTATGTTTGACAAACGCGATCCAAGTTAGTATTCGAGAATATAGTACCCAAATTTCATCCCCCATATAACGTAATTGTAGATATAGTTCGACATATGTTTTGTCGCTCCGCTTTGGCACTTATGAACAACATTCGGTAATGTTAAGGGTTGTGAATAAAAGTGTTGCGTGATTTTTCTCTCACTCTCACTGTGAACGTTGCCGTCTAGCAATCTTCGACTTGCTCCGACAGTAGTTAATATTAAGACACTTAGAATGTTTTTTTTTATTAATGTTGTTTGAATTTCTATATTTTATTTTGTTGCCTCAATCTGTGTTTTATTATGCAAAAAGGTTTTAATTTAATGCTTAATTTTCAATATCGATTTGAAATTAAATTTATGTTGTATATTTTTGTTTTTGAGGTTTAAACCCAAGTTTTTCTAATTTCTTCAAATATTTATGAGTTTAATTCTGTAGATATTTAGGTACGTAGTATTCTTTGTTTGACGGTATTACAGTTTTATTTAATATCATTTTTATAGTTTTTACTAATATTTAAATCACTAATCTTAGTACACATAATATTTATTTATTACAAACTACCCTAAGCTTATAAATGTGTAGTTAATGTAAGCAGTATCCTGTTAGAGTATTGTTTTATAATTTAATCGGCTTGTCTCAGAAAACTAATCATAAAAAAGTTTAAAACTGGCGCGGGTAGGTACAACATAATAAGCAATCTTAAACCTTATTTTTGTATACAATTTATGCTAAGCCTTCCTATATTTACTAGCCCATTGCACTCGCGCCAGTGTTCACGTCGAGTCAGTATGGTAACTGCCTTATATCTGTGTACTTACTAATTCGTTTAAGTCTAGGCGGCTGCCATTCTCTAATGTTCTAGTCATTTTGGTTTTGTACGTATGAGTGAGTATGTATGTGGGTAGACAATATGTTAATCATTATGGATGTTATCATGTAATAGGTGAAACTTATCTATTAAATTGATGTCTGTTTCATGTGTTTTGTTATATCCATCGATTTTTGAATCGTTTTGGGACGATCCATGGATCCAACATGTTTCTAATCGATTCATACTTAAATACTGTCTATAGTTTACTCGAGTAGTACACATTTAAATAAAACATTTTAACGGTTTAAAACGCGATTTTATTGTTAAACGTATATGAAAAATGATTTCTAATAAGTTTAACTAATATATCGCGTTTTAAACCGTTAAAGTGTTTTATTTAAACGATTAATACTTTTCTTAAAACATGATAGACTTCTAGAATGGGTGGTAGGAATAATTCCGTCTGTATCATGAACCATGGGCCACAGATAAAAAAGCCATGAAGTTAAATCGTGTTTCGATTTCATTCTGTGGGTTTCTTAATATCCAAAGCCGAAATAGGTCGACATAGATAGCTGTCGAGATTTGTTTTCTATCGAGTGAAACCCGTGCTTGTCTGTCCTTCATAAGAAATACCAGATGCCAACATACAGATAATATGTTTAGGCAAATATATAAATGTTTTAAGACAGATAAACGAGGGCTTTACTTAATAGGTGAAATACCTCAGACCTATAATATTCATGGAAATATATAATAAGATCGTTTTAATAAAAACAAATACCTAATGATATTTTAGATGCGATCTTTTTGATGCCTGTTTTGGCTTTGGACTATCGGAAATATAAACTAAAACCTTTTTTTATCTGTTGAATATCGATACCCCACTTAATGTCTAGATTTTCGAAAATATTTCTATCATGTTGGATAAAATAATTTAAAAACATGACAACTCAAAGAGTGGACATCGAACCTTACATTGCCACCATTTTAAACATAAAAGCAAAATTTTAGAATAATTATCTTTTTTTATACCGTCTGTTAAGGTTCTAACATTAATGTATGTATATTGACAAACTTCTGTGTGCAAACTATTTGACAACGTCAAACATATCTGCTTTCAGCTTAAAGGAAAAACCTAATTTCTACAAAAATAGTATCATGACTATATAATTATAATGTGATAAAAAATATTTACAACAAATTGCCAGCCTCCAAATTTCTTTCATCAAATGTCGTTTTAGTAATTAAGTTCGAGTAAGAAAAATAACAGAATGTTTCGTTCTCTTCAGCTGTTAAAAGTCCATTGTTCTCTTAACATGGCGAAAGCCAATTGGCACAACTCTGTTATGTCCGATGCGTTAGCTTGTGTGGAGCGACAATGTGAGAGATATTGTGCAGTGCCTAGATTTCCACCGAGGAAGGTAAAGTGGAACTTAAGTATTTTCTAAAACTTATTTTCTTTGTAACCACCACCATGATTGATGGATCAACCAAAGTCATAAAATCACCTGGATCAGTGACTCAGGTCAGATTTTTTAAATATATTACTGTACTAGACTGTGACAGAAAGCAGAAATTATATTTAAATCTTGTAAATAAGTCGTTTACTAAAATAGACATAAAATGTATGCTTTATTCCATAAAAAAACGATAGTGGTACTGTATTGGTTTCTACTATTTTCTTAGTTATAATTGAGGGTAACAATCAAGCATGAAGGTCACTTGCCGAAAGATGAAATACCTTAGCCATATAAGATGCCCTTTCGACTTACTTCGGCTTTTAAACATTAGGAGATCCACACAGTGAAACCAAAGCTTCGATTTACAATTAACGGATTTTCCATCTGTGGCTGGTGGTGTTTGCGCCTGAAGGAATTTTGATATTCCTGTTTGTCGATATCCAGATTTCAAATGAAATCTAACAATTATAAATAGCTATCAGAAATATGTTGGTGGTAGTAAGTAATCAAATGCGCCTTGCAGTAGTTATGATACGCTGGACGATTGTCCCGCTAACCATGTTCGTCATTAACTTTCGATATATAAGCATTTATTGATTTATGTCCCCTTTCCAATAATATTCTCCCTGCTCCTCCCTTCCATCAGATAAACACATTTTTCTAACAGGTGACTGTCGTGGGCGCCGGGACAGACGTCGGCCGAGTAGCGTCGCTGTTTCTCAAGCAGCAAAAAGTAATCAAGGTCCTAGCTCTGTACGACGATCAGCCGGAGCACAATGTGTGCGGAGTGGCTAATGATCTTGCGCATATCGACACAAGCACGGATACTGAAGCGTACCAAGGAAGAATGTTCCTTAAGGACGCACTACATGTAAGACGTCACATATCAATAAACCTACAAATCTAGAATGTAGTTGAAGTCTTATGCCTAAAAATGGTAGGCAGATATTTAGGCCCTATTTATTTTCAATGGGCGGATATAAGTTTAAAGTGGGGAAATACCTATGGTATTCAAGAACTTCGTCGAGTCGGATAGGTAGTTTACACCTACGTATGACAGTAGTTTGTTTGTTATTTATGAGGATGTATACGCAAAAATACGCCCTGGGCTACAGATGATAACTGGACGCCTATGCAGTTAGACATAGGCTCGTTGAGGGGCTTACCCTTCGCTTCAGCCACTAAAATTGGAAAGATAATTTAATGCGTAATATATCTCTGCGAAAAACATGATATACTTACTAACACTTTAGTAACGTAAAAATTGCTTTTGAAAATTTAGGCTTACGCAGAATATGTTCTTCGATATTAAAAAAACATACTTAATAACTACATAAGTCTTAGTCATAATGTATTTCTATCTGTTGCTTAAATACCTATTTATATAACTCTGAACTATTTCTATAGTTATTTTTTAATGATTTAATTACATTCGTTAGATATGACGAATAGAAACTTCATAACCACTGTACCTCGGAAAAACAGCTTTACCGCGTTCGCTAGTATCCTGTAAGACTACAAAATATGTCTCCCTTACTAATTCTCAATTACGAACACAAGGTATGTATATCGTGGCTCATAAAGCCATCTTAATCCGTTATTTAAGGACGCCGACGTAGTGCTGATCTGCGGAGGATGCTGCATCCAGCCTCCTTGCTGCAACAGTTTAGATCGTGACCTTTTCTTCTATAACATGCACCACGTTCGGACCACAACTATAGCCTGTGCCCAGTTCTGTCCTCAAGCCATCATCGCGGTGCAAACGCCGCCCGTTGATTGTAACTTTGCCCTTTGTGCCCACGTATGTTTAACTTTTATAATAACCGACGTAAAAACCTTGGATCCAGAAGGATATATTTTACCAAAAATTAAACAGACATGTCTGTATGAATCTGCTAAGTACCAAAAGAACGAATGGTGTCTCAATAGAAGTCGAGTATATATCGAGTTCGACAAAGCATGGCATTCTGGGGGCATTGTGTGAAAAGTATACGGTGCTGCTAAAACGATGGAGTGACGTCCATGCTCCCACTTAGCGCCTAGCACTCTGTATATTTCATTCTGTCTACTTAATTTCCGTGACTAACACATTCTTATATACATTATAAGTTAAAAATTGTTACTAACCCAACTAACACACATTAGAATTAATTAATTTTAAGAAATGGATTTATGGTCTAAAAAATAAATTATTATTATTATATAGCTTTCTTCTCACGAGCTGCTTTAAATCTCACTAGACACTGAAAATAGCTGGAGTATACGACAAGCGAAAAGTACTAGGAGTGAACGCGATAAATGCGATGAGAGCCAATCAGCTATTCTGTTCCATCACCGGTTCAGACCCCTCGAAAAGTCACACTCCTGTTGTCGGTGGTACTGGAAGATGTACCAGGGTGCCAGTCTTTTCTGCTGCTAAAGCTGGAAACTTCCCGCAGGTGAAATAAAAAGACAGAAGTAGGAATATTATTTTATAACAATATAATTTACCAACTGGTCAGCGACTTCGTCCGCGAGATTCGTATTATCGTCCAAATTCGTTTTTGCAAACCCCTTTATCTTTAAAAACTTAAGCTGTTACCCACGACGTCGGTCGCGCCCCTTCCCGTCGTTCTTGCAAGTTAATTTTGAAAGATAGACATATAGCGCCGCAGACTTTTTTAGATCATTTAAACAGGAATCATTCTTTGACGAAGAATTTTCCCAACATTTTTCGCTGTATCTTCACTTGCATTAGTCACAGGGCGATGTTTTATAGCCTTTCTCGATAAATGCTCCTACCAACACATTTTTTTTTCAATGCTTTTATATAATATGTATATTTATTATACTTTAATTATGTATTTAAATTCAAGATAAGCACAACGTCGCTATAAAATAAGATATAACCTTTAATTCGTAATTTAATAACAGTATTATATAAGGACAAAGTCAGTCAACATTTTTAAAATGACGATAGCTTTATATAAACATGGTTGTACAGTTAGTACAACCAACGGGTTGAGGGTTCGAGCCCTGCCCATGTTTTCCTTGTATGTAAAATAGATTTTGTTTGTGTTTTTTATACTGATACATAAAAACGTACAATTCAATCCATCCGTAAAGTATGGTGTTTCAAGTATCAATGTCAGTAAAATGGTTAAAAGATCGGCTTACATCAAAGACAAAGCCGTGACAAGTATTATAATTCACTAGTTCCTGCTTGGTTTTAAGTTTCCATTGTTTACAAGAATAATCTAAATTATTAACTGTATACTAAGTTAAATACTGTCTATAGTTTACGCGAGTAGTACACATTTAAATAAAACACTTTAACGGTTTAAAACGCGATATATTGGTCACGGGGTGACCACGGCTGCTGCAAAGCATCCGAAACGTCGGGCCGAAGTTAAAAATCATTTTCAAATAAGTTTAACTAATATATCGCGTTTTAAACCGTTAAAGTGTTTTATTTAAATGTATACTAAGTTCATTTTGCTCATACCACTGATTTATATTTTGTAAAATAACCATTTCTGGCCACAAACGCATAATTATTTGAGATAAAGGAAATCATTGTAATGTTCACATTTTCATGGCATGCGCATTACACTTATATATACGCATTGATTGTTTATTTAAATTAATTAATTAGTTGGCATCTCAATGGCCGCGGGTTCCAGTCCCGACTGGGTCTTAAAATTTCAAAATACTTTGTCTCTAAACTAGACTCAATTGGACTGCCTCACCCGCCTGGTAAGAGAAGCAGACGAGATCATCTGTAAGGTGAAGAGTAATAGAGAACAAGGCCATTTGTCCATAGGTTTCTCCACCGCTCGTTGTGTTATCAACATCATGCTGGGTTAGTCTATTTAAATTATTTCAAGTCTTTTAGTAGAAGACTCGATCAAGTGGTAGCAAGTATACAAGAACTCAATATTTCGCAATTTCCTTCTGGCAGCCTAGAGAGCAACTCTGCAAATAATAAAAGCTAGATAGTAACGGTTTTAAACGCGAAATATATTAGTTTATTTTTCATCGCCATTCGAAATTCAACAGACTGAAGCCGAAACGTGATTATACTTCAAGGTTTTTCCACATAGGAGGCATAGGAATTTTGATATTCCTACCACCCAATACCATTTATTCATGATTTTCCAGAGGACAACATGCTTCGGATATTATTCGGAGCATAAATTATTACCACATTATTGCATATAAACAAAAAAAAAACTATTTTTTTTCCTCCTAGGCTTATTTGAAAGGCCGACTTTCATAGACAGCGCACTGGTTGAACAAGGGGACCCAGCTAAGTGCTACAATATGCCGATATGTGCCACACCCGTCACTGTGGGGAGAAGTGGCATTGTCGAGTATGCTGTGCCAACTCTAAACGAGGGCGAAACCAGGCTATTGGAAGACTCCAAGTAAATCATAATTATACGAGAGATAGATCTAGCTTCCACGACATGGGTAAGCGGCAGACAATTTTGTGTCTCTCTTTTCCTGATCGATTTATTTACCCGACCGATACTCTGTAGATCTCTCGAACAACCTGGAGGGGTATGTGTCGTATTGGTCTGTAGCAATAAAACCATTTTGTTAGTGTTCTTAAAACATATATTATTATGATTGTTTCTACGTTAACGTAGATGAGTAAGGCTAAAATACCCCTTTAATTCGCGCTAATAATTAGTAGATTATTATATAGCGATATTAGTAACGCTATATAATATTCTTCAATATGTTTAGTATTTGAGCGGAATAGTAATTACTAGATGTGTCAGCGACTTCATCCTCGAGAATCGTTATTTTGGGCTTCTAAATTCGTTTTTGCAAACCCCTTCATTTTAATAAACTTAAGCTGTTACCCACGACATCGGTCGTCCAATTCCGTCGTTCTTGCCAGTTAATCTTAAAAGATAGACATATAGCGCCGTGGACTTTTTTAGATCATTTGAAGAGGAATCATTCTTCAAGCATATTTTTTAGGTATCCTGAACCGTTTTTGCACTGTACGCCTCGGAAACCCATAATGATGAATAGTTTTCCCATTTTTTTTCAATGGTTGGATAGCTTCCAAGTTCGAATCCCGAGGTAGAAATAAATTGTGTAGGGCCGACAGGCACGGGAGTTTGAACTATTATTTACATGACGTGTACAATCGATAAGCGAAACGGATACAGAAATATTTTAGTTCAACAGGGAGACACACAGTATACAGTAGTTTAATTAATATATTAATTTCAGATGCGACTTGGAAGACATGCTCAACCTTGGTCGGTGCTACGCGGTGGGCGACGAATACTACCTTCATCCGCAAAAAATATGTCCGTGTATTGAATATCGACCGTGTCAGATCTGCGAACCACAAAAAGTTATAAAAGAGAAGTAGAGTTAAATGAAATTAGTTAGATTTTACATAGATACAATTTGGGTGACAATATATTAGCCATCAATCTTTCAATATGGTTTGTAAGGTAATATCTAGACTGTTGTTTACAAAGTTCATATTCTGTGCATGTTGACCTAGTTTTGGTTTTCGCATTTTATCAGGCCACTCATCATATATAAAAATAAACATAATATTATAGCAAAATAAACTAGAAAATGACTTGTAAAGTTTATTAAAACATAGCAAAAGTTTAAACGAATTTTATTTAAATTTTTGTCAATCGACTTGGCACACAGATATTTAATTAAATGTGTAACAAAATAGTTCGACAGTGCATCTTATTGAGATGTTAGCTACTGTAATGGCTGAGATATTTCATCTTCCATGAAGTGGACCCCCATGCTGGTCTGTGGTTCTCTGTTATAGAAGAACAAAGGTTAACGTCATTTCAACGATCTGGTAATTTTTATAAGGTGTAACAATACTAAGTTAATAACAATATTATTTTGAAAACATTAATATTTTTCACATGTTATTGCACATGAAGGCACTATATAATTTAAAAATCGAAAATAAATTGTTAAGGTTGAAATTATACTGCGCGAGAGGTGCATGTATCAATAAGTTGAAAAAACTCGACGATGAGGTGTAGGACTCGGTAGCTCAATTGGTAGAGCAACAGCACGGAAAGCTGACGATGCCGGTTCAAGTCCTGCCCGAGTCGAAAAATTTTTTCAATTTATTTTCGATTTTTCAAATTACAATATTATTTTCAGCTACTTCGCTACGTAAACTAATCCCTATCAAAACCCGTTTATATTACAACTGCTCGAGTCTAGAAATAGCTTTAAACCGTTCAATAGTTGGTGATCGGCGATTTGAACGTTTAATCCATTCCTCGTATCCCGAGAGGGTTCAGTCAGGGTCAGGTAGATATTGAACTTGTAGTGGCCTTGCCTCGTCGGAGGTCGCCGGGAGGACGACCTCCCTAGAGGGCCCATTCTATCGACAGTGCGCATGTTCTTCGCATCTCCCGGGAATAGTTCTACATGATATATAATATTCTAGTATAGTTTTTACATGTTTTTGCTATTGCATTTCTATCAACTTTAAAAATTATTAAATAACTATATGACAGAAGATATTTAAAGGTCGATGGGAATTTTTAACTATGGGTGATTAAAATAGCTCTATAACTATGTGTTACTTAAATCTGAATAATATCTAAGTAATTACTTACACACGATTATTCGTGTTATCCTAATAGGCGTTTTTTAAGTTATAATTTATGTATGACAAAGAAAAATAAACAATACAATCCAGTAAGTAGATTGTATCGCAGAACCTTACAATAACGATGATTTTTTTTTTATTTTCATGACTTTACTCATCTTAAAACGTAAATTGTAAGATATTTAGATTAAAAATACTTCAACGCAGCCACGGTGTTTATTTTAAGCTAATTTATAGATTTGTTTAAATATTTTGGCAACCGCTATCAAAGAAAATGAATCATTTATCATGTTTCTTTTTATGACAGTGTCTATATAAAATACAAAATATTGTGATTTAGTTAGACGGGCTCGTTGGTGTAGTAGCTAGGGCTAAATCAGCCGCTCTAGGGTTCGATTCTCGATGGGTATCAGTCAAAACAGTTTGACAGTGCTTTGGCTTAGATGTTATATAGCTTTGTCATAAACTTTAAATCGTTGAATATTTAGCAACCGTGGCTGACCAATTACATTGCAATAGTCCTTCATGGCTCCCCTTTTCAATGTCAAGATAACAATTTGACTTATAGGAACAATTTGGTTGATAGTCCTGCTTCGCAAATATCGGGTCGTAGTCAAATTTTTAAATTAATAAACAAGTTTTACAAACTACCAATACAACTTTACAGATGATTTCAACACATCTATGCAAATACATACTTATCATAACAGAATTCAAAATTATATCCTGATTCTTCAGCCTCAGACATGGGCATTTTACACTACTCTTCTTATTCACAGCCAATTTGTATGAAACTGGCAGTTCCATGGGCCCTTCCCGATTGAAACACTATGTTTCTTTGCGATTGTCTATAGTAAAAATAAATATTTAAAATATAAAACGTTTCAACTATTCAGTGCGGATTAAGAAAAGCCATTTTTTTATTAACGTTTTTATTGCATAATTTTTTGCTAGTCCTAAAAGTATCTGTCACTATGTCAATACATTTATTTTAATAAATAGCTGAATTTTCCACATAATAGCTTTAAATACGTGTTAATTGGTGTACCTAACTACCTACATAAATTAATGATTTTTGTTTTGATTCGATTTAACAAATTACAGGACCATAAAATGGCTGAGACTAAATATACAAAAAAAATTGTAGCTATTTTGAGTATTAAATAAGAAAATATAACTACTAGAAAACATAGCAGGGTGTATACTGTCCCAAGAATTTCATACGTTTTATTTTGAAATTCATAAAAAAAATATCGATTCAGTAATAACGGAATAATCGATAACGATAATTGTAGAAGGAAAAAGTTTTATCTTGACCGGGAAAGGGTTAATCAAATAAGTGCTTTTTGAAAGAAAAATAAAGTGAAGACACAGGCAGAGCTTGAACCATCGACTGACAGAGAAAACTCCAGCGGAAACAGCTCAACTGATAGAGAAACGACGTGGAACTGGACATGGGTAAGTTGTAGAAAAATAAACTTTCGTAAAGAACTGTATTTTAAATATTAAAACAAATTTTCCTCCCTCTTTCGTCTTATATAGTTAAAAAAATGTTTCGTTCAAAATCAAGTGTTTTCTAATTCACATTAACGGTCACGTTCCTCTGCGGGCATGGACGCAGAGTTCGCTTAACCTCCGCGAAGGTTAGATGAGCAGCCCGCCCTAAGTTTACCCTTGCTTTCAGTTGGCACGCGGATTTCCACGTGGAAGCCGCCTTAAACCAATTGTATTTATGGCTAACATGAAAGTTAGGTTCAGTGATTTAAAAACGAATTCTTTTCATATTTACTTCTACTAAATAAGTACAAAAAATCTTTTTAAACTTAAACATTTAAAGGTAAGGTTTTTATCGTCAAAATTTAATAATCTATAAATTTGATTTATAGTATTTAAATTACAATTCTATTCAAGAAAAATAGTAACATTTAAAAATTGCGAAAATTATATTCAGTGAATATTATTTATTTGTTTTATTTTATTACAGCAGTGATTGTAAAAGTCCAACGTTATACGTAACTACATGATTTATCTGCAAAGTGTTTTTTAGAAATTCCCAAATCAAATTCTAAATTTTGGACTGATGTGCTTTCGAGATGGAAAAAGAAGCGAAACTTTACCCCAACTGTGAGTCCTACGTGTGGCTACGATCGTGCGAGGAGGAGATTATACATCCCATTAATGGCGAGATAACAGGTTTATATAATTTTACCATAAATATGATTTAAAAAATAAAGGTTTACGATACGACGCGATGTCTGACAGCAGCGATGGTTACGGAGGACGCGTTTTCAACGCGACTCTTTTTATTTATTTTGTAAAAAAAGTAAATCATTTCTTTAAATTCTATATCTACAAATATATTCGTATTTAAGTAATATTTTAAAAATTGATACTTTTTGGACTCAAAAAATGCTACATACATTTTAACTGTTTTCTTTTTAAGGCAATTTTTTCCTATTCCTTGATGTACTAAATGTCACATGTTTTTAAGGAGAGATTCCAAATTGGCTCAGAGGAACTCTACTACGTAACGGTCCTGGCTCCTTGAAAGTAGGCTCTATGCGTTATAAACACCTATTCGACAGCGCGGCGCTCATTCATCGGTATTTATATTTATATAATAGCACCATCAGATTTGTGAATTCTATTCATATAATATGAAATGCAATGAAATTTAAACTTTGTTAAAGTTGAGCTACCTCTTTCAATAGGTCTACTTGAGATTGTCTTTTTAATACTAACTTATAATTATTTATCAATTACTCCAGCTAAGTTGTATTTATTTTCGGAAATAGATTTTCGATTCAAAATGGCCGCGTCACATACCAGTGCCGTTTCTTGAGATCCAACACTTACAAGAAGAATCAGGCGGCTCAACGGATTGTTGTAACCGAGTTTGGGACAGAGGCTGTACCAGATCCGTGCCATTCAATATTTGACAGGTATGTCGACGTAAGACTGCCTCCTTCGCATAGTGCTTTCACCTGTTGCACATGTAAGGTCCTGGATTTGGACCTATGGAAAAATAGTTTTCGTCGAGAAGGGCACAGAAAGTTGATCAATAATTTACTGAAAATATCTTTTATATCATGGGAACGGACAACGATACGTGTCGCCTTTACCAATTAAATCTCACTTCTTAGTGGACATACCCAATCAAAATGTCTCGAATGTTTCAGAGTTTCTCTATGAATATTTTTTTCAATCAGAAATTAATTTACGATTTTATCGTCTTTTTGTATGTTCGTTATTTAACTTCAGAATGACGTGGTGTGTAATATATGATCAATTTATTTTTTTGAATTAGATTGCTTAATAAGTAGCAGTAGTAGTAGTTATTTTTTGCAGGATAGGAGCGATTTTTAAACCCGGAGATACGATAACAGATAACGCTATGATATCACTCTATCCTTTTGGTGATGAAGTCTATGCTTTCACTGAAGGCCCTGTTATACATAGGTAGGTACTGGTTGGGTATACTTTCATAGTTTTCACAACGAAACGTGACGTCACGTTTTTTTACTCCCCCAAGCAATCTAACAATCGTCGCAACCCTCTTTTCCGCTAATACGACGTAATTTAAAGATTCTTAAAGGTATGATTTGTGTATTCATATAATAATGACTGAATTTTTTTTCAGAATAGATACGAAGACTCTCGAAACGATGGAGAGACGAAATCTCACAGAAAGTATCGCTATTGTGAATCATACGTCCCATCCCCACGTTATGCCAAATGGTATCGTCTAATATGTTATAGTAGTTTATAGTGAAGTAGTCGACGGGCTCGTTGTCAATCAAATGGTACATACATTGCACGGGTCACGCGTTTATCATTTTCTAATCAATTTATTATGTGTCTGAAACATGTTGGCTATATGAGGAATATCGAACCACGAAGTAGCGTACCAAAGTATCGATTTCAGTTACAGACTTCTGAATATCATAAAAAATTAAATGAAATATATTTTATTCTCTTTAAAATTTTAAAAATTGTTTAGATTCGTCAATTTTTTTTTGTTTGTCGTGATTCTACAGAGTGTTCAAAAGATCAACATAACTGAGAAGAACACCCACGAAACTCAGTCCGGCTTTTTTAAACTTGTCTTATAAACCAATACATTGTGAATTTATTAACCTAAGGAGCAATTCATATTACTGCCAGGCGGTCTTGTCATTAAAGAAATCGTTCAGACAATAATACGCCTTTTGAGACAATCTAAGTTTTATAATTTTACATATTATTCATACGAATACAATTCCCCGCAAATGAATTAGATATTTTATGGAGCCTATATTTGGGGATAGCTAGGTTATCCTTATTTCGTAAATTCAAATTGTGCCTATCACTATTCTTGCTAAACTTGCTTTTATTCTTACGGGCATACAATACATTTTCATAAATTTACTGCGAGTACAAAGTAAGTATGTCGATATTTTTAGAGGTATCTCTTAGTGACTCCCGAGATCTCATACCATAGATAACCCGGACCGCCCTTTTTTCTAACAAAAGTTACCCCACAGTAGTATGCCATATAATATCATAACATTCTGAAAGTAGCTGAAGTAGATTATCGGAATGACAAGAATAAATCAACAGCGCTTCCTTCGACCTTCCATGAATTTAAGCCTCTTCTCCTCTATCATAAAACAATTAGCTACTGTATTCCGCTTAAACCATTTATACAAGCACCCCTATTTCAACCATAACATATTCTAATTAATTTAATAGATTTTTATATAAAGCCTTCATGTTCATTATGTACTTATGCCATCATGTACTTTACTTCTTCAATAGACCTAAGATGAAGAAACTTTTTAGTAGGAAAAATTGGCGCCTGATCAAATTACAAAGCAACTGTGAAAATTCTATCAGAAGATTTTGCTTCTGTAATGATCAGGCGTAAATTTTGTGTACTTCAGTATTTGCTAATATTCTGTTCCAGGAGATGTTTACAATGTTGGCATGTCCGTGGTTTCTGGAAGGATAAAACATGTTATCGTTAAGTTTCCTTATCATGAGAAAGGTAAACTGTTTACAAAAAAATTTTTAGATGCGGTTTTAATTATGACGTTTTGTATAATCAGTAGTATAGTAATCTTGACAGTTTTTTTTGGCAACTATGATCAATTAAAAATCGAAAAAAATTAAAAATTTCCTCGTTAGTGTTCCTCCCTTGATTTTTTCAATATTAATAAACCTTTTTACGTTTTTTAGGAGATATGTTTGCCCACGCGCATGTCGTGGGGAGCTTAAAACCAAGATGGATACTTCACCCTGCGTATATGCATTCTTTTGGTAATGTATTATTTCTTAACACCTAAATTGTATTTTGTGGTCTGTATACTTTATACAATATGTCAAATTTATTTATAGGTATATCCGATAATTACTTTATAATAGTGGAACAACCGTTGACTATATCACTTGTACAAATGGTGCGTAATCAGTGGACTCCAACAGCCTCTTAAATCGAGTTTAAGATGGTTCGAGAACGAAGAGGTATTTAGTAATTGATTTCTTAACTTACACAAGGTCCAACAAATAAAAAAGAAGCTTTAATAAAGTCCACAGAAGTCACCCACTTTTAACAAATGAATTTGAAAGCAACAAAGCAAGATAACAGAGGCAAAATGCTTATGAGAGTATCCTTGGTCGAATGTTAGCAATGTATCATATCAATTTATTAATGTTTCTGAATGACGCTCGACTTCGTCTGGTAATCTGGATATTATATATGTGCAAGGAATATATATATATATATATGTTCGGATATGTGTTCTTCGTGACCCACATATAAGAAAAGGAATTTGACTAGTTGACTTTGCATCTTAATGATCTTTGGCAAGAAGAATATTGTCGCTTTATCTTTTAGACACACATAGTGCTTATTAGGCGAGACACGGGCCAAGAACTAAAACGATATCGAGCGGAAACGTTCTTCTTCCTTCACGTTATAAATTGCTATGAGCAAGGAGACAAGGTGCTGGTAGATCTGTGTGCTTATAAGGATGCTAACATCTTGGATGCTATGTATGTTCACGCTATTGAGGTAAGAAAACATTTACAAATTATTTAATTTATGTCAATAAACTTGATGAAATAAGCTAGATACGAACCCACGATACACCTATTATGTAATAACACGTGAAAATGATTAGGACACAGATTCACGTCAAGAATGTCAGTAGTTTAAGCAAGTAGTACACATGTAAATAGAAGATTTTTAACGGTTTAAAACGCGAAATATATTTGTTACTTATTTCTAATTAATTATAACTACGACTCGACGATACGGAATGTTTGTAGCAGCCATCTTTTTTAACGTTTTAGTTGGGGAACTAGAAGTTATATATTTATCCATTTAGTTTAATAACATTTAGATTTAATACGTTAATATCTATACCAAAGGTATCTTAAGTTCAAAGCTAAGGCCATACCTCTTTTCTCCACTCATACTACCTATCTTCATTTCGTTTTAAGACGATGCAAACAAATCCAGACTACGCGGAGTGTTTTCGTGGGAGGCCCAAGAGATTCGAAATGAACTTAACGGATCCAAATCTGACCAAAATCGAACCACGCTGCTTGGCTGATATCGGTTGTGAAACGCCGAGAATAGACTATGACAAATGTAATGGTACGGTCCTTATCTCTATTAATTACTGTACGGTTATATTATATTATGGAATACATACTAATTTTCTCTAATTTACAAGCAAATTCTGGATTATTACAATATGTTTTTAGGCTAATACTATCCTTATATTGTTTACAGGGCACTCGTATAGATATTTCTATGCCATCGGCTCAGAGGTAGACGTAGAACATACCGGCGTGGTGAGATATATTCATAAGTATTATGTGAAGCATATATGTATAATATTTATCTGAATGTTTGTAATCTATGTTTCGTAACATAGATAGACCAGGTCTAAGACATAAACATTTAAACAGTAGATCGTTGTAGATGGTTGGTCTATTTATGTAAAAGTGAAGTCCCAAACCCTTTTGTTGGACACGGGGCAGATACATTACTTAATAATTTAATTTAACTTAAACATCTCTAATATTCGCCATAATATTTTCTTATTATTTATATATACACATAATTTTCAGTTAATAAAGGTGGACACGAAGACAAGAGAAATGGTTACTTGGTGGAACCATGATTGCTACCCTAGTGAGCCTATATTTGTGCCCAGCCCAGATGCAAAGGTAAGAATATTAATACACAGGCCATGGTTTAAAAACTTAATTTTTAAATTGAATGTGCATGATCCATTATATAAATTGAAAAATGTATGACAATGTTGGGACTTGAACCGGCATTAACAGCGTTCCGTGCTGCTGTTCTAATCAATTGAGCTACTGTGTTTCTCTCCTCATCAACAAAATTTACAACCTATTAATACACGCACCTCTCGCGCCATGTAATTTTAACGTTAATACTTATGTGTTAAAAAAAGAAAGATGAAGATTTTTCCGGCAGAGATACACAGACCGCGGCCCGCCGCGCGGTCGAATATGGGTGGTTCGCCGACAGCAAAAATAATACTCAAATTAATAAAGTCTTTTCAATTTTAATACATTGTTATAAAATTTTTATTGTCTCTAATTTTGGCAATCTGCCATCAGTGCACGATTTGCCTAATGATAAGTTTGCGCATCCCTGTTCTAGCATATTTATTTCATGAGACAGCAGGTGTTAAGTGTGCATAATAAACTTATGTAGATTTTATATTTTTGCATAGGACTGTCAATTCACGAATAATGACAACTTTGCTAACCACTGTCAATACATGGGAGGCTTTCGACAGAACGAATGGATATAAATAACCTATAATGGAGCTAAGTTATTTTTGGACACACTTAAGTTAACGGCGTTTAAGTGTTACTACAGTATCTTGGTTAAGGACGTCTAAAAATAAAATACAATTTCGGTTATCGATATTGCACATGATGCAATTGATAGGGCACTTATAAATTAACTTATATAATGTTGAATGAAACGAGTATATAATTAAGTTCATTGCTTAATGAAATGTACCTGCATATCGATTTAAGAGGCAAAAAAAAAAAATTTAAACTGTACTAATAATATTATAAAGCTGAAGAGTTTGATTCGAGAATTGATTGATGATTCGATGTCTATGTTATACCTGATAGCCTGATGTTTTATCAGGCTGCGACCAATAGGAGGGAAGAAATGGGCAAAATTATTCATCTTTGAGGGTTCCCATTGCGTGCGCTGCGTAAACGGTTCAAGACCAAACAATATGTAAGATTCCTCTAAAAATAATCTAAAAAATTTCAGCGATAGTAGCAGTCTATCTCTTAAGATATAAAGATGAGATCGTGCCGAGTGCCCGACATCGGCTTTATAGATGAGCTAATCTATAAAGCTGAGGAGGTTGTTTGCAAAAATAAATTTTGAAGTCGCAGGCACAGCCTACCATATAACCGATATATATTTTCTACAATTTTTACTTTTCTGATTGTGTGCCCTCTATTTCGAAATTAAATGTACTTAGTTGTTTATAAAGTGCTCAGTTGTATCTAAAACGTGTTAAATGTATATGAGTTTTATTTGAAAACTTTAATATTTTTCACATGTTATTGTACATGATGGCAATATATAAATAAAAAATAGATTGTAAATTGATACAAATTACGACTCGGGAATTGCGCGAGAGGTGCATTTATCAATAGATTGAAAAAATTCGACATGACGAGTAGGGCACTGTAGCTCAATTGGTAAGAGCAAGAGCACGGGACGCTGTGGATGCACGGTTCAAGTCCTGCCTGAGCTTTAATTGTTAAATTTTATATATAATCAAGTATAATAATTTATTTGTTTTATGCATATTTCTTCTAAGGGTGAAGATGACGGTGTGATAATAAGCGCATTGGTGTACGGGAAGGATGATCGTCGAATAGATTTGCTCGTGTTGGACGCTAGAGACCTGACTGAAATCGGCAGAGCTAAGTTCACGACGCCCTCACCGGCACCAAAATGTCTACATGGATGGTTCTTGCCTGACAAATGTTAGGCAATTTTTAATTATACTTATCAGAATGTGATATCTCAACTTACGTATTGAGATAATAAGGCTAGTATACAATAGAAAGAACTTAGTAAACTATATACTGTATACTTTATACTATATAAATGTAGAAGGAAAGGTAGTTTTATTTAAGCCTGATTGAGTGCCTGACCGATTCTTTTTTCTTTTTCCCTAGTACCGAACCTAGGACCTCTACAGTTCGCACCTTTGGTTACCAGCATGCTAGTTTAATCATGCAATCAATGTGGTAGTAGTGATAAATGCATATTTGCTTTCAATAGTTCTTTTTGTGCAAAGAAAAAAAATAATTCGGCTCCTTTTCCTCCGATCACGTAGGTACTAATTGACGTCATTATTAACATTTAAGTAAGTTGTTTTTTTTTTAAGATAGTTAAACTTGCCGGTGTGAGAAAAATATTGTTTATACTTAAAAATATATGTTTTAGCCTCACCTGTAAAAGGGGCATTTGCGTAATTGCGATATAAGTAATCAATACACATGCTGTATGCAATAACGTGATCCGTATAAATGAATTATTGTAATGAATGGATTAAAGAGCTGCATGATGATAAAAAATGTAAGCAATAAAACGGGGGGTGGTTTGATTTGGGCCGCAGCATGCAGAGATAACGATATGCAATTGTGGTATCTCATTTGAATAAATTTGACTTATCCAGCAATTTATCGCAAGCCCTGATTTAAAAATACACAGTTACTGCTATTTTTGGCTCAAATTATGTCAATGGTTAGCTTAAAATAACCGAGACCGGTTCGATTTCGCATAATGTGGTATTTTCGGCCCGCCGTCGTTATTTTTGGAACAATGCAATTTTACGTTACTCAACTGACCCAAAAGTGCGATGTACTTTTGACGTTGCGTACGAAGCGATCAGTAGTCATTAATTCTTAAACGAATTTAATTACGCATTATGGGCGGTCTGGCCAGGCCGGAATAAAACAATTTGACGAAGTCTTTATTCATAACTTTTGTCACAATTTTGTAAATCACAATTGCTTATGTGTATTCATGTCCAATAAGAAATCCATGTAACTAAAATATAATAGCAATAAACTACAAAATAGTATGTAACTTGAAAAATTAATTACTTACTCAATATTTAAATCTAAAATTAACAAGGTACGATAATATTCTTAACAATGTTTATAACTAAAACAGCAATACATATAAACAAATTGTTGTATGTTTATCTCTACACTCTCTATTATAAGTTTAATATATATGTTCGTCTGTATGTACAAATCGGTTAGATCAGTATAGTTAATTCCTTTAAATAAAACACTTTAACGGTTTAAAACGCGATATATTAGTTAAACTTATTTGTCTCTCGGGACCACGGCTGCTGCAAAGCATCCGAAACGTCAAGCCGAAGTTCCAAAAATCATCTTCAAATAAGTTTAACTAATATATCGCGTTTTAAACCGTTAAAGTGTTTTATTCAAATGTGTAGTACTCGCGTAAACTATAGACAGTATATATTTAATTCCTTTTGATAAAAAGAAAACTTTTTTATGCTATTTAAGAAGTCTATTTAGTAGAGATCTTTTTCTACGTAAAGATAATTTAAAATACATATGGTGACATCTCAATTAATTAAATACAATCTCTATGATAAAATAACCTTTATATTAAAATTGTTTCCAAAATAAGATCACTTATATTCGTGACCACGTTATCTGATATTTAACTTGGTTTTCACTCTGAAATGTGCTTTCCAGCTAAGGACTTTTGAAGGCCTAAATTTGATTTTCACAAAAATGATTTTTCAAGTAAGTATATAAACATTATTTACAACTTGATATAGCTGCCGCAATCCGGAATAACTAAAAGACATTGAATGATTGTTAGATTTGATGCCGTTGTCAACAAATCAAAAACGTGATGATAAGAATTAAGCTGTATTACTGATAATTTCATAATCTTTTAATGACCCGTGCCCTTTCACGCTACTGTTGTTTAGCAAATAAAAATAAAAACTAGTTTCATACCCTTTTATCATTCTTTAAGTCTACAATAGTATGGTTGTATGTTGTAGTACTAAATGATCTGCGAGTGTTATATTGAGATATTGTTTATTCATAAGAACTATTCTTTTATTAGCCAATCCGTGTACTTATAAACTTCTTTTTATTTGTGTATAATTTGATTAATTAGAAGTATGTAATTCATTTTAGTATCTCTAGTGATGGTGACTACAAGTTAATTTTGAGTAATGTCGCCATTAATTATACTTATAAAATTATATATATATATATAATAGATATATTCTGTTTTATAAGGTAAATGTCAGGTGACCACATAGCACATACATTTAAAAAAATTACATACATCATAACAACGATAACAGAATTAATTAAAATTATCGTAATTATAATAAAAATTGTATATTTTAAATAGTTATAATACACTTATCTGTGTCACCTTGCTGAATATTAGGGTTCTGTCTGTGATATTATCAATATATTTCGAATACTTAATTATAATTTCCACTTTTAAAAGAAATACAACCATCCTTATGCATGCAGTTTTACAGAGATGATTGATCTCTTTTGCATTGTTAATAATAATAACTGTTATCTTTTTATGTAAGTCATTAATTAATTGAAGCTTAAACCGAGCTTTACCGAATTTTGTAAATACGTCTTTCATCAACAACACGCGAAATCCGGAAAGCAAAAAAAGTTAACGTTTTGAGTGTTAATTTAAGTGAACATGTAAACTACTACTAACATACATACATATACTACATATATACAAGCCTGTTGATTATAATTTTAAATAATTATATTATGCATGTCAGGTACCACACATTTTGATATAAAAAATAAATCAAAATGGAGTGCAATGATCTGATTCTGCACAATAATATAACAGGAATTTATTAAATAACTTCTCTCTCGACACTTACAAGTTTATTACAATTAATATATTGTTATTCCGTAGAGATTGTAATTAAAGCGTTTTAGAGTTCCGCCGTCCACGGTTCTCTGTTTAAGCTAGTCCAATCTATTTGTTAAACATTCCAGAGACTATGAAAATACATTTGCTTGCATTGCTTTTTCGGCATCTGTATGCTGTGAATTCTACTAACTACTTGAACTGGCATCGTTCCGTGCTGTTGCTCTCGCTTTGTTCAAAATCCTGCCCGAGTCGTGATTTTTTTAAAATTTATGATCGATTTTATTTCTAACTAACCTTCTTAGTTCGCTTACAATAATTTAATTAATTTAAAAATAGAACAAGTCCTTTCTTAACATAGATACCTTTAAAACAGTTGCCTTCTTGTCAAAGCTGTCAAATTTTAAATTAACAATTCGCTTAACCGAGTGTATTGAATGCTCATTGAATGAGTGCTAAAAATAAACTACATCGAAAAAAGCGAAATAGGGTGCAGAACTCCTGAACTCCTTTGAATAAAAGCTTATATATATCTTGAGCCAGTACATTCTTTATATTGGTTTTGTAAGCGAGTATCGTTGCAGTTGCCTGCCGAGCTTACCATGATTACATGCTTTGCGCAGTGAAGGTAGAGACATAGTTTCGAATTCAATCAAAATGGCAGATTCCGATGAGAACAAAGCCAAATGCTACTACGACTTTAGTGTTTTGCTTCGTAACTGTGAAAAGGAAATTATAGAACCCATTGATGGAAAGATAACAGGTAATGTGATGATACTGATTTATCTTCTTAATTTCGCGAGTTCGCGTAACTTTGTGATACCGCGTAACAAAGAAAGCCTTTATTATTTTTAGGTGAAATCCCTTCGTGGGTCAGAGGAAGCCTTCTCAGGAACGGCCCTGGACGTTTCAAAGTCGGCAATTCTGAATATCAACATATTTTCGACGGGTCGGCGCTTTTGCATAGGTTTGTTATGTAGCAAAGTGATCTTGAATATATGTATGTACGTTTAAACAGGGATTATCATAAAAATCTTTTTCCTATCTTTGTCTCGTGAGAATAACGTCTAAATTGAATTCCAGATTCGCAATATACGACGGTCAAGCAACTTATCAATGTCGTTTTTTGAGTTCAAACACTTACAAAAAGAATCAAATAGCCAATCGCATAGTTGTCACTGAGTTCGCGACTAGCGCCGCGCCGGACCCCTGTCGCACTATTTTCGACAAGTAAGTTAAGTTACTAAAGATAAGGTTTCGTAAACTTTCTTAAATTAACAGGTTGGTTGCCCTATCTCAATTTAAATTTCTAAAAATGCAACCCAACGGGAAAGTTATCTTGAGGTCAATGGACTAATTCGCGATATGAAGTCTCGTGATATAGGTGATTCAAAGGCGATTTAGGTATGTAAACAAAGACAATTGATACTTTTGAAAGAAATCGTAAACATTTAATGTAAGGAAAACGTAGTCTACAAAACCTGTCCTTAGTGCTCTTTAATTGAGCGCAATAAAGATTTTTAATTATTATTTGTCTATTGTTTTGAAACTGCTTATTTCACTTCTCAATCAGAATACAATTAAGTTTTGTTTAAATGTCTTTTTTAATCTCAGCATTTAAATAGCACAAAATTTTAATACAAGATAAATACTGATTGTAAATTCGAGTCCCACACTGTCATATAATTTTTAACACATAGAATAAACTCAATACTAGAAGACACTAAGCAAGAGCTTTTAGCTGACTATAGTCCAACATCGAATAGTACTTTTATCCATCAAGAAATTTTCTATCTACAAAAGATGGGTGAGTAAATTTTCATTGTTAAAAAATCATTTCAGATTTACATCACTGTTCAATCCAGCAGACAATTTAACCGACAATGCAGTCATATCCATCTATCCGTTTGGAGATGAAGTTTATGCACTCACGGAAGTACCCCTCATTTTTAGGTAAGACATTCTTTTAACCGGCCAAGTGCGAGTCATATTGTTAAACACTTACAATTATTATTAAAGTGAGCTCAAACTCAATCTCCACTTTTATACATAATCATTTAATTTTGTCTTTGAAAAATAAAATTTATAACAATTAATAAAAAAAAAAGTGTTAGATTGCGTCCGGGTTCCATCCACCCTTCGCAGGCCCAAAACTGTGAAAGTGTTATCGCTTTTCAGTGTTTCGATTTTAGAATATTCAAAGCCATAAAAGGTAGCCTCATTCAACTGAGCTCCAAGCATGTCTCTCTTCCACTATCGTATAAAAGGAGGTAATTATTCCACTTAATGGACGTCGGAAGTTTCTTAGGCTTTTTATCCATTGTGCATTTGCAGATATAAAAGTAAAACAGATGATTCAAGATCAAGAGTATTGCAATCTTTAATTACCTATTAATAAGGATAGAAGGTCACGTTGTGAATAGAAGGTGTTTTTTACAGAATAGATCCGGTGACCCTTGAAACAATGGAGAGACGGAATTTGATTGATACAATTGTCATCACACATACCGCTCATCCCCACTTGGCACCAAACGGTGAAGATATATTCGTTGATTGATTTAATATTTTAATATTGATTATTCTGTGCATGTGTAATAGTGTAATTTAACGGCATTAGAATTGTGTTTTGTACATAGGCACAGTTTAAGGTTATAGTAATGTAAAACTCTGGTTCAATGGTAGCAATGTAAGGCTTATAATAATCATATTACAAGCCTTACATTGTTCGATCCCCACCCGGTTCAATATGATTCAATTTTTTCTGAAACGTGTTGGAATATGTTGGTAACTGAAACTCTGTCTGGAAATCTGGATATTCAATAGTTGATTGTATGCTTGGTAGGAATATCAAAATTCCGTCCGACAAGTTATAATAATAGCGTTTCGGTGTCAGTCTGTGGATTTCAGAATAACCGAAGCCGTAATGGGTCGACAGCACATCTTGTTTCGGGTTTGATTTCAACATAACGACATAGTTTTCTTACAAATGTATCACCTTTTAAAATGCTGCAAGTTTAAAATATTTTGTTGCTTACAGGAGATGTGTACAATGTCGGAATGCATGTTATCAAAGGCAGATTGAAAATTCTGATAGTTAAATTTCCCTATAAAGAAAAAGGTAAACTATATTCAATAATGTTTATTATTTCTACTTTGTCACTCCTATTTTATAACATTTTCTATTTGGGTCCTGGGCAGATACATTTTTATGTCTGTTTCATAGATCGATGAAGGCAAGTAGCTTACCAGGTTTGCGCCCTACCCTATAATTAACCTGACTTCTAATTATTAGTCATGATCAAATAATTTCTAACAATATAATTTGAATTAAGCAAAATCAGCAATGTATGATCATCAAAGGGTCGTGAAATGGGATGAGTATGCCCCCACAAACCAGGTCCAAAAAGTCGAAGATTACACACAAGATATATTTTTTCTGAAACAAGTTGTTCTTTCTCTGGAAAATCTACTGGTAGGATTATCGAAATTCCGCCCGTCAAGAATCACCGTCCACGGTTAGATAAGCCTTGGTGAATTTCGGTTCATTAAAAAAATATATAAATCTTCATCATGTATGTGGCTAGCTATTTCATCTTCCATCGAGTGAATCTTATGCTTACCTGTCCTACTCTATCACAAATAATATGTTTTTGCAGGAGACATGTTTGAATCAGCAGAAATTGTAGGAACAGTGACACCTCGGTGGTTCATCCATCCTTGTTACATGCATTCTTTTGGTGAGTGAACACCAATCCAATAAAATAAAAAATGCCCCGTAACAGTTTATCTTATATAGTTTATATAGATATTTATGTTATGCTATCTACAATATTACAGGTAGGTAGGTCTTGTTGCTTATACACAAAAAAAAACTACAATTAATTTGAATACTGTCTGTTGTCCGGTAGCACTAAAAATAAAACACTTTTAACAGTTTAAAATGCGGAATATATTTTTAAAACTTCTCCGCGAATTACTTTAACAACGACCGACTGCGGATACTTTGCACCCGCTGTGGTAACGCGGTGACTGTCTCTAATGACAAAGTAGTTTCTAATACATTTCTCGTTTCAGGTATAACAGACAACTATTATATCCTGGTTGAGCAGCCTCTAGGGCTGTCAATATCAAAATACGTCAAATGTCAAATAACTGAGGATGCTTACGTTTCAGCTCTGAAGTGGTATCCAGAATATGACGTAAGTCATCATTTATGAAGTTTTGATCGTAAATGTAGTGTGTATGTAGACGTAATGAGACCAACTCGATGGGACATTCTGGCTCAGTAATTCATTTTTTATCGTAGAATAATGGGACCAACACGATTTTACACACTGAGCCCTTTCATAGATATATTTTTTATTAGCTGGGCCAGCCACTTAGTCCGCGTAGAATAGTTATTTTTGGCGTCAAAATTTCGATTTGGCAAACCTCCTTTTAATCTTTATCTTTATAAATTATCGATGTTACCCACAACGTTGGTCGCGACTCGTCGTTCTTGCAAGTTAATTTTAAAAGATAGGCTTATGCTGACGCAGATTTTTTTTAGAACCTTCAAAGAAGAATCATTTTTTTTCAATTCGACTCAGTTGTTCCTGAGATTAGCGTGTTCAAACATACAAATAAACGCTTCACCTTTAAAATATTAGTTAAGATTACAAGCAAGTAGCAAATTAGAATTTTTCAACCCTCCCTGACTGGAACGCAAGTTAAACTATTTAGCCACAATACTTTTAACTGTTTGATAATAATAATAAATCTCTTTATTTGGTACAATGCTAGAAAGAAATAAATGTAAATAGTATAAATTAATTAATACAGATCAATTTACATTTTATTAAAAATGTTGCCAAAAGAGTCTTGCGTCAGCATAAGTGGCAGCACATTTATGACACAACACTGATTTTCAGCAAAACCCTACTGTTCGTCTGTTAGACAGCACTGTATGAGTGCTGTCTAACAGACGAACCATTTGCTATTTTAAGTAAGAGCTACCTAAGGGAAACATTATTATGTAATGAATTAGTAACTATTGGCGTTAATTAAATATATTAGTTAACTACAGACAATACTTCTTTTCAGACTCATATCATACTCGTCAGCCGTACTGATGGTAGTGTGAAGCGCTACAGAACCCCAACCATATTCTTCTTGCACATAATCAACTGCTTTGAGAAAGATGACAAACTTATATTAGATATGTGCACTTATCAAGACGCTAAGATCATAGATGCGATGTTTATTGACGCAATAAAGGTAATTTCACACAAAACTAACTCAATAAACAGCCTAATAATGTGAAACAAAATTATAATGTAAAAGAAGTTCTACCCCAAGTCACTATTCCACGCGGACGAAGTCTCGGGCACAGCTAGTTTTACATAAAAATGATCCACCCGTTACTTTTTTTTTTAATAAAAATAGATTGTTAATTTTGTGAAAAAATTTAAATCCCGTTTCCCCCTGTCAGGTATGGGGCGAACACATTTCTATGTCTGTTACAGATAAATAGTTCATTAGATTTCTGGGCCCCGCCCGATCGAAACCATTTATTGTTTGCCTGGGATTCGATCATAGAACCTTTCGCGCTTAACGACACTCAAGTCAGCACGTTTAACCATCTGACTTTACAGGCGTTAATTAAATTTATTGGTCAATTATATATGTATATAATTCACTACAAAATAACATATAGTCTTTCCACTTTTGTGATCTAGGACTTTAGGAGCGAACCTTTCGACTTTTGACCTTCCCATATTTAAGAAAAACATACTTTTTATTCAATACACTTATAAAAATGTATTTCCTAGTTCAATCACAACAACCTAGACTATGCAAAGTGGTGCGCATCCAGACCGCGAAGATATAGAATTCCACTCGAAGCTCCGAACATGACGATGGTGGAGTCAGAGCTTCTTGCTGATGTTGGCTGCGAGATGCCCAGAATTAATTATGAGCTATTTAACGGTGAGTGATTTTTGGTGATGGTGTGTTGAAACTAGTTTAAACATCGTCTGGAAAATCATTAATTAAGTAATGCAAAAATCGTACTTAAATTTGAATTTAAGTATTTTAGTCCAGAGCTAGCTAGATGCAGAGTAGCCTAACTGTAATTTTAATTGGGCTATTTATATTTTTATAGTCTTAAAAGTGTTAATCTACAAGAGCACAGTGACGAAAATTGTTAACATAATTCTTACCTTACAATACAGATTTATTTTCGCCTAAGTTTCATTTTCCTAATTGAAAATCATGTTTTTTTTGTTATTGGGCCACTCTAGCAGCGTCACATTCACAACATGAAAAATGATACAAGATAAAAAGATCATAAGCGTCAATAAACAATAATATGTGTGTTTTCTTTTATTTTCCACTAGAATCCGATTATATGATCGTAGTTTTGCTTAAGTATATTAATTGTCTATATTTACATGTATGCTAATTTATTTATTCACATATGGAAACTTACAAAACTTACTTAAAAATCTATGTTTTAAGGTCGCCCGTACAATTACTTTTATGGAATCATTTCGGATGTGTCGAGTGACATCGCTGGAGCGGTAAGTGAATATTACTTACAATATTTAGTTATTTGACTCTATTTAACCATTAATTTGTTAAAATGAAGAATTGTGTTGGTCAACGTAATTGTAGGTGTTACTTTGATTATATTATAACTATGATATACTGAATACCCAAAGCCAAAATAGGCCGGCAGCGGATCCTTTTTTAGATTCTATATGGCTGGGGTATTTCACCTACCATCAAATGAATCTCGTGCTTCTTTATCTTCCTTCTATCACTGCATACGTCAAACTTTCGAATAGCAACGTAAATAAGTATCTTTCTTTCAGTTGGTGAAAGTCAATGTTGCTACGGGAGAACTTTCTACATGGAAAGAAGGGAACAGTTATCCAAGTGAGCCTGTCTTCATCCGTCGACCTGGAGCTGTGGTAAGTAACATACATTATTCAGGGTATACTGTCCATTCAAATTAGTTCGTAAAATAGAGGCGAAGTTAAATTAATTCCCATAGATATAAAAAATTGCATCACTTGTTTGGCCAGTGTTTGGCAGTCCTAACACAGTTCTGACTCAGATAGCTAGTACGTTAGACTGCCTATAAATTGAGGATAGTAATGACATTTCCTCAAATGCGCAGAGCTAATAAATAAGAACACATCCACTGTGTTATGTGTCTTTATTTATTAGCTCTATGTACTTGCAATTGATTAAAAAGTTTTATTACTATTATTTCATAGCATGTTTTTGATAATATTATTCGGTTTGTTAAACTGCTATTCATATAAAAATATATTTATTACAGGTTAAACTAAGATATCTTTTAATACAAACCAAAATTTGCATAATCGTTCTGAGTACATTTATCCTAAAGTCAATTTCGGTCGAAAATGACACTGAACAACACTACTTATTTGCCTGAACATAAATCCATGCTAATCTATTTCATTTTTCAGGACGAAGACGATGGTGTAGTCCTCAGTGCTGTACTCTGGAGTGACGATGAAAACGCGATAGATCTGCTTATATTGGATGCTCGTACGTTCAAAGAACTCGGTCGTGCCACGTTCAGGACCCCGTCGCCGGCGCCCAAGTGTCTGCACGGATGGTTCTTGTCAGATAGTCACATCACTGCGTAAGGATTGGCAACGGAAATCTCCATCAAAACAATGTAGGAATAGAATCAAAAACATTTGTAGAGCAGGGTAACAAGACACCACGCGGCGGTAAATACGTTTTAAGCACATTGTATGATTATGAACTGAGTAGATAGGTTTAAGAATTAACTAGTCTTAAATATTTTTTAAGTTAATATTTAAGAAACAAGTGATTACTTAATAAATAACAATAAACGTCTTGGTTTGTTTTTGTGATAGAAGGATATTATGGGGTTACTAGATGGATGGTGAAATACTACTGCTATAAATTAAATATGATTTGCTATCGACCCTTTTTTTGGCTTTTAATATTCGGTAATCCAGTCTGGAACCGAAACGAGATTAATCTGAGGACGGTGGTTCGTGTTTCAGAAAAATTTTAGATTGAACGAACGAACCGTTGATTAGCCATACCATACCATAGCCATAGTGCTTTAGTTTTACAATTTGATATGAAGTACTTAGGCTTGAGCACTATGAAAACCCTAAATGGGTTAACACGTAAATTTGAAAAATAACACGTCCCAAGAACCAGAAAGCATTTGTGCACATAATTGTCTCCTAACTACGCAAACAGTTTTTAGGAAGTTTAATCCACTTAATCGTAGTACACACATTAATGGGCAAACACTGTGACCATTATTGTATTACGTTGAAACCATGTTTCATATGCATAATTGAATTCAGAAGTGAATTAGCTATGTCCTCTAAAACACGCGTTGGTATTCAATATAATGTGTAAGAAAATAATAATAATATAGTAGTAACAAAGTTGAACCGATCAGTTAAGATCTAACACAATGAATCGGACTAACTACGAGACCGATTTGGAAATTTGGTCACAATTTTTAATTAGAGTGTTCGATGGAAAATCCCACTGGATCAATGTTTTCTCTGTGGTCCTGTATCTCGTTATCTTCTTCGTGAGTTTGATCGGAAATGTACTAACTTGTGTCGTCATCTATTCGGTAAAATCAATGCATACAGCTACCAACTATTACCTCTTCAACTTGGCCGTCTCAGATCTGATTGTGACCTTCACCAATTTAGCTGACATCTACGACTTCCTAACAGACTTCTCTCAGATCGACGACATCACTTGCAAATTGAGGTTCTTCTTCATCACCTGTCTGTGGAACAATGGGATTCTCATGATGACGATACTGGCTATTGAAAGGTTTTTAGTGATCTGGTATCCGTTGATGCTGAGCACGTCACCCGTTTGGAAGCGCGTGTCCAAAATTATCACGGCGATATGGATAATAGCTATCCTCGAATCGTTGCCGGATATATGGACCGTGAAAATTATTAAGACGAAGAAAGTATCTATATGTTTCACTGTACCGACAGAGGTGGCGAGGACGATCAATGGTGTTTTAGCTCTATTTACGTTCGTGATTCCGCTGGTGATCATGATTTTTGTGTATGTCATGATCGCTATTAAACTGAATGAGAACGAAAAGTCGAACTCGAAGGGCAAGATCTTCAACCATCGCGACAATAGACGTCGAGTAAATAAAATTATTGGTGAGTACTTCTTTAAGTTAGAGATTTTCCGAGCACGCTATTCTCAGACTTAAGAACAATTTTATAATAATTTTCGATAATATCGTGAAATACTCCAACTTATCTAAATGAGATGATATTATGAGATTTATAGACTGAACGCGAATTTACACTTTGTCCTTGGTCGGTGATTCGCGACCCTGACGGTATTTCAATGGTCTTAGAACTAGACAGAGTCTTGTTTAAGAATAAATATAAAGTGATAAGAGTAGCATGTCAGCGTACAGTGGGAATCGAACCCACGGCATGCAATGCTTTATATTATAGAATTTAATACTTATTCATGTTTTATGTACGTACGAACGCTTTGTTTTGACACAAGTGAATTTCAAAAACTGAATGTTATCGTTAATGAGATAAACCTAATAAATTTTCTTTTCAGTAGCACTGACGGGATCCTTTCTAGTCTGCTGGCTTCCGTTCTTCACTTACCGGATCATGATATTTGCTTACGACATGGAGCAGTTAATGAAATTTGAATGGGTAAGGTTCTTTCTTATCATTCTGAAAATTCTAAAATCTACGTTAGTAGGTACGCAGTCTAATTGTACTATGTTATACTAATTTATGTGAAAAAGTCATATGAATGGTGGCTATGGAAAAAGACAAAATACTTACCAAACAATTTTTGTAGGACTTGGGACACTGGTTTAAAAAGCAATATTTTTTTTATTACATTCTTTCCTCCTTTTTGCTTCTTTCAGTGGTTCAGCACAGGAATTCGAATCACTTTGATTAACACTTGGTTCAGTGTGGTACTCAACCCAATTCTCTTCAGCCTCATGTCCACCAAGTTTAGAAGAGCCTTAAAAGTAAGTCGAGTTGCCTAGTGTTAAAGCTGAACTAGTAAAATTCCGATTTTCATATGGAGCATAGAGCGAAAACACCCATGTGCCCGTTTCACTCAAAGCTGTGCCCTACCCGACCGAAATAATTTTACCAACGCGTGACCATTGCAATTCAGATGCGGTCATCTAGAAACAACATAAAACAGATTATATCAAGCTTAAAGAAAAATAGCTTTATTCATTTTTGGAGATTAAAGTGTTTGTTAAATAAAAATCAATATAGAGTATCATATAACGTTATTCCATATTATGTGTGCATACATAATTTTCATCTTTTACACGCTAAGGCTTGTCTGTCCGTCAAATTATTATATAATTACGTCACACATATCTTATGTAAATAATTCCTACAACTACTCCCAAACTATTTATTAATTATGTTACGTTCTCTTAATCTCGTAAAAATAAAAATTGATTGAACTTAAAGCAATGTTCATTTCAGATGTTATGGACGAAAAAGACAAAGCGAGAGAAACCAGTAAAAATCGACGCCATTTCTTAAATCAACAAAGTACAAGATTACAACTACCGATGCTTATCTTATAAGCGTTAAAAAGAGATACTTAGATGATCGTAGGAGCTGTATATTCATAAAATTGATGTTTCCTTATAGCTTATGCAAATTATATGGTTTTTTGTTGTATTGGTTCTAAACAGTAAAGGTGTTAGCACATATTATGTTCGTAACTTCGCAATGAAAATGAAGGAAGGCTACCAAGAAAAATGTGCATTGGTGACAAATCTTCCACCACCTTTATTTCACAACATACAAGTATCAAGATTAAACTTTTAGTACCACTATAATATTTATAGGCTTAGTAAAAGTATTAAAAATGACACCTAAAAAGTCTAAACTCTTTTACAAAACCGTACATAAATAGGACTGTTTGTTCTTAAGATTATATCTGCTTTGAAGACCAAGTCTGCCGGCTTGGTGATCGGCAACAGCTGGTATCTTCGTAGGAGTCCGGATATCAAAATTTTCATTTCCAGCATAGCAAAACGTTGGCCTGTTTAAAGAAATATTTAAATAAATGTTGCTACTAAATGTATTCAATTGTAAGATCATATTGCGTTCCTAAAAGAACGAGGCTATGCCAAACATATGTATTAATCGTTGTTTTTGGAAAAAAATGTGTGTGCACCACAGTGCAGTGCTGAGGAAAATTTTTGATTATTAGAGTTGTGCATATTTTATAATTTAAGTTATGTTAATTTTGCAGGAATTGCTTTAAATATCAGTATAACTATTGCTATATATATAGTAAAATACAATATTGATGCCAATCTATATTGTCTGTTTTACTGATGCGATAAATTGAGTAAGGCTTTCACGGCCATCGATCAGCATATTATTGTCTTTCGGGCTGTTCGGCCGATGTGAGCGAGAAGAGGTTCTCGAAGAATTGTTCGAGCAATCGAGGAGTCAACATCTCCTGAAGATGCCGTCCACACGTGATGGCGAAACGTCGAGAACCTCTTCTCGCTCACATCGGCCGAACCGCCCGAAAGACAATAATTTACTGATGCGAGTTTAACATTTATTCCTTACTTATAGAAAAGTGTACAAATGTCGCTACAGAAGTTCGAGTAAACTATTATCAAGCAATGAAAATGATTACAATTTTATATGTATATGAATATTATGTAACTGTTACTCTCAATACTTTTATACATTATACAGTAGTTTATTTTACTGGCACAGTACAGGAGAATCTGAAACAGTAAATAAAAAAAAGGATGTCTTAGGAAATGTTTTTTTAATAGTTATTTCGACGCATATTGTTCTTGGTCATACTTTATAGAAAGAAACCACCTTTTCCCCTATTTTCTTACCTTACAGTCCCAGTAAAAATACACTGCTTGAAATGGGGTCTTACCTATGCAATTCCTGTAGCCAGCACTAAAAGGTATATACGAGAAAGGATGTCGATTCTGGCAATTTTCGGGGTAAAATCTTTCGGGGATAAATTTCTCTGGCTCCGGAAACAAATCAGCGCGGCGGTGAAGATCATAGACATATATGTGACAAATAGTGTCAACTGGTATCGTGAAACCGCCTGCAATTTTAAATAGACGTAATAATCATTATTATATTTCCTGGTCTAAAACAACTATGAAATTGTCCACTATAAGTGAATGCTGGATTTAATGTCCATGGCATTTGTTTACCTCGACTTAAGGAAACGCGATTAAATTTCACGACTTTTTCATCTGTGGACGGTGGTTGGTGACCCGAACTATCAAAATCCCTATCCATTTAATATCCAGATCTCCACAAGAAGACTTATATTTTTTTAGAAAAGTTATAAATTGATTTTTAAAATGTTTGACCCGAACCCACGACCCGTTGGTTATTACATATACACCACATTGCTACCATAACGACCTACTACCATAACTTCACGGCCACGAGGAACGAAAGAGATGTGAGACAGTATATCAAGAAGTTTTACATTATATTAATTTACATACTCACGACTTACTTTGAATATAAAAGTTTGAAATAAAATAATAATATTTGAGGGTAGTTTAGTTTTCCCGATTATTGGCGAACTTTCTTCCCAATCACGACACAGAGAGGAGGGTGGAGGTATGTATTTTACCGATTTCTGTCTTCGTGATACAATATATATCCTAAATTGTGTGTGGGCTCTCTCGGCCATCGTTTAGCATATCATTGTTTTTTCGGGCTGTTCGGCCGAAACAAGCGAGAAGAGCTTCTCGACGTTTCGCCATTACGAGTGGACGACATCATCGGGAGATGTTGTTAGATCCTCGATTGCTCGAAGAATTAATTCTTTACTTCACTTCGGCTGAACAGCCCGAAAATCAATGATATACTAAATAAAATCTTATTATAGTAAATAAATAACATACCTAATTCCGATTCCTCAGTGGTGTATCGCACAATTAAAGGTACGCTGGGGTACAGCCGTAACGACTCTTTTATACAACACTCGAGATATTTCATTGCATTCAAATCTTCAGATGTCGGTTGTCGGTCGCTATTACCAAAAATGTCAAATAGTTCTTCGTAAATTTTGTGCTATTAATAAAGAAACGTATGCATTAGTATTGACCGTGATTTCGCTCCTATCATATGTTTTTTCGATCAAAATTAATACAAACTTACTTGAACTTCAGGTTCATTTGCAATCCTCATTATCATAAACGACAAAGCCATTGCGGTGGTGTCGTGTCCCTAAAAACACACGCGTTTGTCTTCTTTTTAAACAATTTTATGACTAATGAAATTCATTAATGGAGTTTCGATATTCATCTTTGTTTACTGATACTCTTCAGTGGAACAGAAGTTTCCACATCAAATTGAAGTCACAATAACTAAAACATTTACGAGTCCTATTTGTGGTAATTATAAAAGAACTGATGATCAGCTAGGTTACTTTGTCTCTAGGGCCGCTAGAGACAAAGTAACCTAACTGCCATTTTATGACTCGAGTTATTTATGGTCAAAAAACTTAATCTACAAGAGCACAGTGAACGGAAATTCTTGATATAATTTTGACACAAATAATAGTACAAATTCATTTTCGCCTAAGTTAATTGCATATGTTTATTTTTCTCTTTATTGAAAATCATGTTTATTGTTATTAGGCCGCTCTGCCTCTAGCAGCTACATAATATGTCTGTGACATCAAGCCCCTCCCAACTTACCTCGAACATAAATGTATCGACTTCCTCCCTTGTACCGCGACGGTCTATTTCTCCTTGCTTCTCCTTCTCCAAGAGCAGATCCAACATTGCGAGTCTTCCCTTTGAGCTCTCATTAATATCACAATCTATAGTACTATTATCCTCTATATATATTCTTCGCTCCTCAATGATTTCTTCTGTAAATCGGTGCAAGTCTCTAACTGCTTTCTCTTGCAGCCAAAATGTTTTGGTGAAGAAGAAGACTGCGTCGGGGTAGAGCCAGACGCGGCATATGCGCCTCATGATGCACTGCCCGACGGCGTGGATAGCTTCTAAGTATTTATTGGTTACATTCTTTATACCTTCATTCATTGATGTGCCCATTGCAGTTTCTTGAAAACAAAAAGTAGAACTTAAAATTATAATTAAAACCACGATTTTCCCAAAAAAATCTCGTCCATAATATTTCAGGCTCCTTTACTTAAATAAATAATAATTTAACGAATACTTTCAATAATTTTATAACAAATAAAATAGTTAAAAATCTCTACAGAGTTGAGAAGGTGTATCAAATTTGTCTCTTTATCCAGTATTGTCTGTAGTTTACGCGAGTAATTAAATATATAAAAAAAACTTTTCACGTTTTAAAGTACGACGTACATTACTTGTCTACTTGATTTATTTAAAATTAAATATAGGTTTGAATAATAATTAAAACTTATCTATATTTTAAACTTAAAACAAAATAATATCTCTAGCAAATAGCGAAGCACGCTGTGGAATGCATGCCTAGGTGATCTAAAAATACCTCTTAATGACATTTTATATAGACAAATATAACTTGTATTGCTAACTGCGGGTAGCACTAACTTACCCTAGTTTCTTGTTAACAGATTTTTCGTAATAATTTCAGAGATAAATAATTTTAAACCATAATAAAACACTTAACGGTTAAAACGCTAAAATATATTAGTTAACTTATTTTTAATTTATCTACGATAAGACCGCAAAGTTCAAATATAATTTGATATAGTTTAGTCTTAGTGTTAAATTTAACGTTAACATCGAACCCAGCCCTGCATATACAAAATGTATAAAGATATTACAGAAATTACTTCAAGCTTACCACACATTATTTGTAGCGTCGTCTTGCAAACTAGAGGCACGACATCTGTTTTCTGCTTCCACGTCTCCTTCTCTACCTCCTGGAGGAAATTCTGCGCTCGGTCGATGAACGTTCGTGTGTATTTCTTGAGAATGTTGAAGTGAAAAGCGCCTGTTAGTAATTTTCTTCTCTGTTGCCATTTTGCTCCTGTATCGCGAAATTATATTAATAATTTTTTATACTATTAACAATGAACATGAGAGCGAGACAATTTATATTTTTCTATGCGTTTAAGATAATTACGAGTACGACCTTAACCTTAAGTCCGGTGAAATCGGCGAAAATAGTCAAGTAATAGAAAATTACCGTTGCTTATGAGGAGTCCATCTCCCAGCCACGGTTGGAAAAATGTGTATGGCTGCTGTTTATAATTAAATCGACTGGACGACAATATTTTCTGTAAATCACATAATTCAAATAAGCAATGAGGAAGTGAAAAAATACATCTAAATTATCCATTGGTTTACGATTATTACATCTGTCTTGTCGTTTTTGAAGAACGTAAATAAAATTCTTTGAAAAATTAAATTTTTGGTAAAAAATTGTAAATATAAAATCAATTTGAGATTTAAAATAATTTTACGACACGGGCGAGCCTTGAACCGTCATCCACAAAGTTCCATACTATTGCTTTTTAATAGGGCTACCGTGTCATACGAGTCATTTTCGCTTTTTGGGCCTATTGATACATACAGCTCTCGCGCAACGTGTGGATGCCGGTTCAAGTCTCGCCCGTGGTGTAATTTTTTTCTATCAATCTAAAATCGATTTTTGATTGTACATTGTATAGTACCTCAATGTCATCCGGATTAAATATATGTACAGCCTTGTACGTCAGGCCGTGCATCTGAGAAATATTTCCAAAATCCTTGTATAAAGTCCTCAGGTACGGGAATAGGTTCTCTAAAAAAAACTTTTGTAAATAGTTATGATTTGAGTCTTTTATGACGTTTCTGGTGCTTTTTTAAATTAAAGCACCTAAAAACAGTTGCACTGTCGATGTCGACGTTTTTTGGTCTTTGAAACCAAAACGCGATTAAACGTCAAGGCTTTTTCACGTCTTGGCGGTCCGTGACACGAACAGAATTTTGATATTTCTACCAACAGATAGCAACCGTCCAATACTACCCACGAAGATTTTGTTGTACTCACTTGGGATCCATCCCACTAGCTGTTGCTTATAAGCTTTTGCTATCATTGGACCAACGAGACAGTGAATATTTCAATATAAATGATAAATATTTGCTCACATGTGGAGATAGGATTTATCAGATACATAATCTGTTACCTTGTTGGATGAAAAAAGGTAGTGCTCAAATTCTCAATGCTACAGTTTGTTTGCATTATTATTACGCGTCTAAACTACCTGTGTCATTTTCATATTGACGTATATTAATGTCAAAAATAAATTAATCCCAATGAAAAAATATCCTCAGGCATGGTCTAAAATTCCTCAAATACAAAAGACTAATTTACCTGTCGTTTTGATGATCGACCAAGTGTTACCGATGAAAGGCCAGGACCGAGGCCCAGGGATCTTGCGCACGAGTCTCGAGGACTTCCAAAACATCCAGTACAGAGCTGTTAGACATAGAACTATAACAATTATGCACAATCTAAAAAATGACATATTCGCAACTGAGCGCCTCGCTCGCACTGACTGGACTAATGTGTTAAGCTATTGTTTGTACTTTTTACGTTTACTAAGGTTTGGTCTAGAAAAAAGCGATTAAGATCATTTCTTATGAAAAAAAAAACTAAAAAATGAATTTCAGACCATCGATACATTCTTAAATGGTAATGCTATATTATTAATCGATGTGCTAGTTACTATAATAAAAAAAATAAAGATGAGTGATACCTACTATAAACGAGCATAAGAGACATTCCATCATACGATGCATCCAGGAGAAGTTTAAAATAAAATACTTTTAACGGTTCAAGATATGATACACGTATTCTCAACGAAAACCAGACATTTTGCCGTACACATTCTGATTTCTTATTATTAAAGTATTATTAGTTTCGTATTTGAATTGAAATAAAAATTTAGACTTTAATTTTCTAATAATGCAAGATACGACACATATTCCCCCTACATTGACAACGGGTGTCTGTTCACATACTCTCCATTCTCCGTTTAATAATATGTCCATTTCAAAATAAAATATTATGACGAAAACCATGCAACATTTAATATAATTGCTCATTTTTATTATCTTCCAAGGAACGTTGTAATGATAACAGTAAGTGTATAACAACATCACGGCTCCTCTTTTAATGATTATTAATTTATATATTTTATTGATAAAATACGTAGCAAGCGGAAGGGATGGAATTCGAATTTTCAGTCCTACGCTATGATGTAAAAAATAACCGATTTAAAACCCGTCACGAAAGTCCCGTAAGGGCCCAGCCAGTTTCTCAAAATACCAACGAGAACGACACACATGGCGTTGTAGATTTGACTTTGGCATTAAGAAATCCACAATTTTCAAACTCCTGTGACCGCGATTGTGCATGGCACCCGAAACGTAGAGCTAAAGTTAAAATTAATAAAACATAATTTTATATATTTCGCGTTTTAAGCCGTTAGAAGTGTTTTGTTTTGAAAACTACAGACTATAATTAATGTCGCTCTACGTTTTGAAAGAATTGAGTTCAATGCTACTTATGAGGATAATTAAAAACTTATCATGTTGTTCATTGATGTATTATTTATAAACAAAACAGTACTCTGACTTTTTATCAATTACATAGTATATTCATTCAAATTTAAATAAAACTCTAATATTAGTTAAACCTATTTTAACTGAGGTCCGACCTTTCGGATGCTTTGCAGCAGAGTCTCCTCTCCCCGTGCCCACGGTTAACAAAAGACCAAAGTTAACGTATCGTTAATTACAATGGCAGTAACGTAGTAATCTCATTATTTCGTTGTCAACAATCCTCTTGTAACAGGAAATTTAGTTATTTTTTTAATATTTTACGATGCTTTGTATCAGTTAAAAATTTGTTTTTGACGAAACGAGCGGAACTTGAACCTTTAATCACTTTGATATACACATGTGAATTTATTAAGAAAATGGTGATGAGAAACGACAACTAAGTTGGTAAAAAGGTAGGTTTTGGGCGTGGATTTGAGTTCCGCCCTTGTCACATATTTTTTTACCTGATTAATTTTCAGACATTGGTATATGTAAAAATACAATTCTCTGTAACTAATTAATCTTTTGGTGACATTAAATATTAATAATCCTTCTTATATATGATAAAAGTTTTATAGGCGAAAGCTATCTTGTGTATTGCATTAATTGAAATGTTGTTTTATATTGTAATTTAATTGTCTGGGGTTCAAAGCATTAAAATAATTATAGTTTTGGTCTCTCAGGAGATAAGTCTGATTAACTAAAATGACAGAAATAAAACTGAAATGGGTTTGTTAGTGTAATGGTAGCATTGACTAATAATAATAATACACGAATCGTGAGTTCGATCGCCACCGGGTTCAACATGTTCTAATCAACATATTTTTTTTTCGAACAAATGGTGATTTACGAAGTTCAGACACGATCCGCCAGTTTTCAGTTTCATTCTGTGGATTTGCTAAAATCCAAAGACAATATAGATCGGCTTCACATCGTTTTACGACTGGGGTTTATCTAGCATGAAGTAAAGCTCGTGCTCGGCTGTCTTCCTCTGTCATTAAAGAACATTCTGCCCCATATCTGATATAGCAAAGTCGGATGCGATAAATGAGAAACAGTATATTCTTTCTCATTCTGTCTCTTTAAAAATACACATTAAAGGGGTAAAAAATAGGGGTTGCTATTAAATTTAGGGTCGTATAATGCCTCATAAAAATAAGATTTTGTCTAAGTAATTAGAAACATTTATTAATGAGGAGTATAAAAATAAATTGTAACAGTCTTAACCCTACGAAATATACATATAAAATGTCATTAAAATGGCCGTTTCTGAGGAATATGGTATTATAACTAAAACAAGGATTTTAAATATTGTATTAAACTAATCTATTTAAAATAGGTCTCTTTAAAAGGTAAATAATTACCATCCGTTTGCTTGCTAATTATGCGCTAGATTTTTTTTCCAATACGTGGTATGTGAAACATTCTTCATAGTATAAATCACGCACTATTATAATAAACCTCAATAAAAACATGATGGAATAATAATTCTCAGAATCTTTTTATAATTTATTTTTCAGTTGAAAAATTATTGTCTCGCGCGGAATCGAACGTAAATCGGCTTCGCGTTGCGCAAAACTAAATCACTGATTAGAACCAGTTCATCGGTTCTAGTTACTGCCTCAATTCTGAACTTCCTCAATAGTCCGGTCATAACCGCTTTCATCTCCAGATATGCGAATTTTTGTCCTAAAAAAATGAAAATGTCTCTATTACTTACTGCATTGTCGGTCGCGTAGCTCATAGAAAACAAATGACATACATATTTTTAAATTGAAAAAAGAAATAATTGAGATACGGAACCCTAAAACAGCATCAAATACAATGTATCACAAAGAGTAATTGTACTTATATGTAACTTCTCTCTACGGGCAAAAACTTCTTAGTAATATAACCTATGCAGTTCCTAGGCCCCGCGCTAAAAGGTATGAATGAATAGCGATGACGATTATCGATATTCTCCATCAGAAATCTATCTGGGTTGAATTTCTCCGGCTCTGGATAAATGTCCTCACGGTGGTGGAGGTCGTAGATATGAATATAGCAGTTTACACCAGCCGGAATTGTATAACCACCTGAAAATAACAAAGATGTATAAAGTAGTTTCGAACATTTAACGGTTTAAAACGAGAAATGTATTAATTAAACTGATTTACAAGTTAATCTGTTTTATGTGGTGTGATGTGGTATCGTAGTTGGTGTATAGATGGCGCTAGCGTAGTAGTTTTTCCTTTGACATTAGTGACCACGACTGCTGTAAAGCATCCGAAACGTCGGGCCGTAGTTAAGTAATTTGTAAATAAGTTTAACTAGTTCATTTTGCGTTTTAAACTATTATATGTGTTTTATTTAAAAATGTACGACTTTAACTACTCGCGTAAACTACAAACAGTACTCAAGCTTAAAATAAAATATTTATATATTTGATTTATTCATGACAGGATTCGAACTCATTACAAACATTATGCTGTCAGTCTACCAATTTCTCAAATTACTTTTCCAATTTGGAATTCTCTAAAGTATATAAATAACTCACTACGTTGGTATTAAAAATACAATGTCTTCTACTAACTTAGTACCACTTCCTCCTTAATTTGTCTGGCGATAAAAGGGACACTGGGATACAATCGCAGAGTTTCCTTTATACAGCATTGCAAGTAATTCATTTCGTTCAAGTCCTCCACAGTTGGTAGCCGCCGACTTCCTTGAAATATGCTGTCTAGTTCTTCATAAATTTTGTCCTATAACACAAATACAAGGAAAAGTAATGTGTATTTCATTCATATATTTTCTAATTTGGTTGACACATATTTGACAACACAATTTAAAAAAAAAATCAATGGCATAGGTGGGACTCGAACCCAATCTCCAAAGCATCTAGTTTCCGCTCTAAGAGCTGGACTCCCACGCGAAGTCTAATATTTCGTTAAGCTTCTAGTCCTGGGTTCAAATCTTGGGATACCCGAAGGCGTTGCGGTAGAAGACAGCACAAATGTAATCACAAAAGTATCCGTTGTTAAAAACATATAAATGTTCTACCACAAAATCAGTAAGCAGTTTTAACTGCTGTAAACAACATATAAAACTCTCCAACCCTACCTGTATTTCCGGCTCGTTAGCAATTCTCATAATTAAAAACGTAAGGGCTGTGGCAGTTGTGTCGTGTCCCTGAAAATAGACAAAGTGTTTTATGTAAGCATTTTATAAACTTTAATTATTAATTTAGCGATATTCCAATGGTAGTAAAGCTTGGCTGATGACTGAGGTGGTCGTGGTTTCCAATCCCACGGGAGCCAATGTTCTGGTATATTGGTCACAATGTGTAAAACCTAGTCATAGACGCTCTAACGAGGCAAGTGTGGAGGGTCTCTCTCTAATTATAATTATATCTAAAATCCGGCTTAGTCACAAATCTCCACCAACGGATAAAAAATCCGTGATTAGCTTAATCTCAGGGTTGCTTAAATTGTCGACAGCGTAATGTAATAGGGCTTACACATTTGAACTTACATCAAGTAAGTCCCATGTCTATTGTAAATTCTTAAAGTATAATAGCAGAAGTAGATTAACCTCAAACATGAATGTATCCACTTCTTCTCTTATACCTAGCAAATCAATTTTGCCGTCTCGTTCGTTTTGAAGTAATAAGTCCAACATAGCCAACTTTCCCTTGCCATCATTAGCAGTTTCTGTTCTTGTATCTTCTAGATTCGTCTTCCTCTCTTTTATAACATTGTCAGTGAAGTTGTGTAAATTAAGAACAGCTTTCGCCTCTCTGCGAGCATGTGAAGTTAGGCCATAAATGAAACTTGAAAAGTACCAAATCCTGCAAATTCTCTGAACGATGCATTGACCGACTGTGTGTATGCCTTCAAAGTATTTCTTGGTTTCTGATTGTTTGTGGTCATCTATTGAAATGCCCATAGCAGTGTCTAAAATGAAACTATCATCTTGAGAGTTATTGGCTACTAAATTTTATCTAGGTAGATTAGAAAAAATCTATGTATATTGACACAAACTGAATTTAGCTAGTGAATTATTTATTCGTTTATGTACAAAATTTTATGTGTGATTTATTATTAATAATACGACATAAGTAAAGCTCTAGTTGGTAAGGTTATTTATATATAAATAGCGGGTTTAAGACATTATTTTAAATTTCTTGCGTGGTATATCCACAGATAAAATCTTTAAAAACACAATATTAAACTTTTAAATAAAACGCTTTATCGGTTTAAAATGCGATATATTCGTTAAACTTATTTGGAAATGATTTTTAACTTCGGCCCGACGTTTCGGATGCTTTGCAGGAGCCGTGGTTAGTCTCTCTCTATAAATTGATGTAGATATTGTGTCTCCCCGTGATCACGGCTGCTGCAAAGCATCCGAAACGTCGGGCCGAAGTTAAAAATAATTTCCAAATAAGTTTAACTAATATATCGCGTTTTAAACCGTTAAAATGTATTATTTAAATGTGCACTACTCGCGTAAACTATAGACAGTATTTAATTTTAAACTTACCACACATAATTCTTAAAGTAGCCTTCGAAATCAAGGAAGTTAAATCAGATTGGTCCTTTGTAACTTCGTTTTGGACTTCCTTTAAAAACTGCTCTGTGTTATTGATGAAGGACTGTGTGTATCTCTTTAGTATGTTAAAATGGAAAGCGGGTGTAAGCATTTTGCGTCTTTCATACCACTTTGGCCCTAAAATCAAAGAAACGTAAAAAAGTATAAATATTATATATGCTTTTAACTTTTTACTCTTTTGTATATGTAAGATATTTATTTCTACGCATAGGTAAGTCAGGACTAATTAAGTTAACTAATATATTTCGCGTTTTATAGCGTTTAAGTTATTGTATTTAAGGTGTTATTGTACGCGTACAGTATAAAATATTACATAAAAGTTTAGTCAAAAAGTTTTTGATTTTTTTATTTTACTTTAATACATATGATGGCATTATAAACATTAAAATTCTATGTAGATTTGAAAAAAAGCATGGAAGAGCCATAAACTGACATCTAAAGTAATTCGTGACGTCATGGCTAAATTTCTCCAACTGCTCTCGGTAAGCAGCAGCACGTAACGCTGCGCATGCCGGTTCAAGACCCGCTCGTGTCGCATTTTTTTTTTAATCCAAAGCGATTTTAATTGGTTGTCTTCGCTATTTTTACTCAGCCCTTGAAACTAAGCCTTTAGTTAATGTATTTATTTCATTATACAATTTATTCACTCACCGTTACTTACTAGCAAACCCTCGCCTAGCCATGACATGAGGAAATCATATGGTTGCTTTTTAGTGTTAAAGCGTGTCGATGATAGGACTTTCTAGAAAATAATGGAAGAAAGATATATTTTGGGTTAAGAAGTGGGCTCGGGCGGGACTCGAACCTAATACCAACAGCGCACCGTGCAGTGTCAATTTAGGTATCTTTCCTGTTAGGTTCGTATCGTCATATGCTTTGTATTCTAAACAAAATAAGGGAAGAAGAAATGACGAGGTTAGTTTATTATTTTTAACATTTATAAAAGGTATCTTTATTAGCTCTCTTTTCATAGAAAAGTTATTTTCAATGTATGTATATTTGTTTAAATAAAACACTTTTAACGGTTTAAATGCATAATACTTATGCGTATAAGATATACTTTTAATTTTACTGCCCAACGTTCGGATGCCGTGTTGAAATTGTCAAACTACAAATAACTTAGCCAATTAGACAACAAAGATTAAATTCAAAATATCTTAATTATTATATTTCGCGTGTGTGTTTTAAATAGATAGTCTATAGTCTGTAGTGTATACCTACACTACAGACTATAGACTATCTATTTAAATATTTTGAAACCTTCCACCATCAGTGAAGGAGGGTTTGTCTCATATTTTTATCTAATTTCATTTATAACACCACAAACCTCTATGTCCTCTGGATCGTAAATATTAACCGCTCCATTTCTGAATATATACAGACTCGTTATCCCCTTGAAAGTTTTGTACTTTGCTCGAAGTTTTGTAAACACCTGCTCTGAATAGGGAAAGATTATACAAAAATAATATATTATGCTATTGGTGATCCTAAGATTATAACTAGCGCCTTAAGCGTCAAGCTTGTGAAGCAGACTAAGAACGACACTTCGGCAGTTTTTGATACAATTTACGATTATGAATTTTTATATTATTAAACATCAATAAAATAGTTTTTTTTCGTTGCCCGAGATAATAACTCGTCAACAATAGATATTTTTCTCGATTAATTGATTTTATTATCTATCTTTAAATAAGTCTCCATTTTCTTGCTATAATTTTGTCTTTTGAAAACAAATGAATTCTTATTCCTGAATCTCCTAAAATATTACTTTGTGGAACGCACCCAATTTTATGTTTTCCCTTTTATTCACCACAGGTATTTTATGTAAGGATGATCTGATGATCATCTGTTTAAAATCATCAACGACACTCCTTTAGATTTAACCTAAAGGAGTATCGTTCTTAGAGAGATTCTCATTTATGCCGCTAGAGGCGCGCAAGTAATCTCTCTCTCGCCAATTTTAACATAGATGAGGAATACCCATTTTATGAAAGTAATTTTTTGCCATTGTAAAATCATTTCAAATTTTATAGTCTCAATACACGAAAATAGTAATCTGTATTTAATACGGCCAACATAACATATAACATACCAGGTGTCAAAAGATACTCAAACGCTGGTCCTAAGATTGGCCATCCCCTAGTTCCCGGTATCTTTTTCATAAGAATTGTTTTCCTAGATGTCTCATGCGCATACCAAAGGAATAATAATACCACTATCAAAAAGAAGATAACCCACAACAATACTAACGCCATCGCTATAAACTAAAAGAGAAACTACTACAATAAAGTAATTATTTAAAGAAATATATGCCAAGTTATTATCTCGCCAAATTGAATGATAAAATTTGTAATGAAAACTCATTGAAATTTAAATTAAGTGATAACATTTCAACAATACTAGTTATATTAGCTCCCCTTTATACAGAATGATTCTATGTTAGAATAAATGTTGTACTCATTACATCACGTCGAACGTAATATCTATCCAATAGTAAAGTAAATTATCTTAACATCACCCCACTTTTACTATATATATCGCCGTTCAAAATAAATTGTTTGGTGGGTACGATGACAATTTTGCTTTAATTAGAAGCAATTAATTTTATTTTGCTTATCGTATATTGTTTTAAATTGTTAATTAAGTTTATTAACATTCAACCATTCTGATAATTTAATAAAAATAAATAAGGGGCTAATTGCAGAATTAAAATAACAGTTTTACTTTAGACCTATATTTTTGGCTTATAATTTGGGATGTAATGAAGTACCAAAAGTGACTACATGTATAATATTATTTTTTATATGTTTTTAATGTTATATTTAAACACCTAATTATCTTTCAGCCAGTACATCCATCCAATTTAATAGTGGGAAACTCAATTTCGGTATTAACGATTTTTTCCATTATAGGTATTATTATATTTCGTCCCCACTCGCTGAAGGAATTGGAAATAAGAGATGCCTGAAACTGGAAATAAATGTTTATGTCAATTATCATGACTAGGAATAGTTTAAGGTATTGACGGGATTCGTCACCCATGACCAAAACAGTGCCGTACCTTCCGAGCTCATGCCGAAGCATGCTATTATAATATTATGTAGAAATTTGATAACGTGTAAAAATTATGTACCCATTTCCATGTATATTTTTCAAATAACTCGGTAGCTAAATTGGTTAGAGCAACAGCTCGGAACGCTGTGAATGCCGGATCAATTCCGAGTCGTATTTTTTTTCGATTTTTAATGTATATAGTGCAACAACATGTGAAAAATATTAAAGTTTTCAAAGGCTGTAATTTTTGAGGTGAAGCTTTGACGGAGTCCGGAAAACTTACATTTCGTCCAATGACCTGTGACACATTGGTGTTTGGCAACGAGTCCATTCTTGCAAATCTCGCACTAGATCCAGCATTAGTAAATGTAAACGCAGTTTCATTGGTGTTTATATTTTTAACTATCTAAAATAAAGCAAATAATTATAACAGGAGCTTAAATTCTCCTAAATAATTCATTATTTTTGTAATCGAGAAAGTGATACATTTAAAATACATCGACTTAAGTTCTTAATTATACGAGATAGTCGACGAACCTTTTTTGGAATCGCATGCCACTTAAATCAGTAGGAAGATAGAACTTATTAATTTGGTAACAATGTATGGCTAATAATAATCAACTGGACGTGGGTTTGAAATATGTTGGACTTCGTCTAGACCTCAATATGAAATGGGCACTAGGAATATCGAAAGTCCGTTCCTAACCACCGTCCACAAATAAAAAAGCCGTCACGTTTAATCGCGATTCGGTTTCCGTTTCATGTTTAGATGCTCCAGGCCAGGGTCCACCTACCATCGAGTGAACCTCATGCTTTTCTCTCTTCCTGTATCATAAGAAAAAGCAATGTCATAAAGTCTTTAGGATTTTAGCTTTACCCACCAAGCTAGTCCAGCTGACTCTTCATCCTATCAGGCCTAATTTTAACATATATTTTCCCCTACTTTTCATCCCTCGGTAAAAGCTAGTAAAAGTATTCTTTTAATACTTTTACTAGCTTTTACCGAGGGCTTTGTTCGCATATTAATAAAAACAATACCAAATCGACCAACAGATCGTGTGTCACAACTACAAACATACAAGTGCTACTTATTCAGAACTTACAGTAAATTGGTAAGTATCTGTTGCTTAGTTAGAACGTGATAGACAGACAAACTAACGCCTTTCTATTAAACACTATTAAAATCAGTATAATTATTTATACTTACATTAATGGGAAAGGTTATAGAGTGAAACAAAAAAACACCGGTGTACCGCTGATCTTCCATATCCTCTAACTCTGCGAAAACATCAAAGCCAAGTCTCGGATTGTGAAAGTTTATTGTAGCCTGAAGACCAGCCTGATAGATCGGTATGTTGTTTTCCATTCTTCGCGTCACCATCGAGGAGATACGAGTGACGTCCACCATTTCGATTGAAATAAGGAAATTGTTTGTGTAGTGAATTGTACCTGCTACACGCCAGGAATACATTTGATTGCTGAAATATAAAAGGCGTTAGTGTTACTTTAATCTTTAGTGTATAGCTTAAAAAAAACAAACAACGGATTATAATTATATATAAATATAAAAACAGCAGCCATGACCGCGCCTCTGTAGCTAAATGATTAAACGCCTATTGCCTAAAATTGAGTCGGGTAGGGCACAGAATTCTGGTCAACTACTTGCCTAGTTGTTTCAGTGATGTTTTCGCCTCATGCCCCACGATGGGGAGGATTTCACTTTTCAGAAGCCAATTCAAAATAGAAATTTTATATGCTAATAAACAAAACTTGATTCCAAGTTTTGTTTCTTTTAAGAGTTGACGAAATACAGTTAAACTAAACATAGGCGCAGTTTGGTAAGCCGAACCGGCAGGTAGGAAAAGATATGGTTATTTAAATTTAAAACTGTTTAAAACGCAAAATGCTCTTATTCACAGTTAGGTTGTATAACACCGTGTCTCCCGTGACCACGAGACATAGTCTAATACATTCCGCGTTTTAAACCGGTGAAGGAGTTTTATTTAAATATGTACTACTCGTTTCAAAACACAGACAATATTTAACGAAATGGTTACTTGTAAGTATGCGTTTTTACGTGAGAAAAAACTGTAATTTCGACTAGTTAGTCGTTAAGATTTTACTCACTTTATACTTTGGTTAAAGTCGTCAATTTTCAAATTGCAGAATTTCACATCATTTTCGAGTCTGTGCAGTGTTCTTTGAAATACCTCCTCCAGGTATTCCAGGTGACGATCCAGACAGGCTCTGCTGTCTAAAACAGAACGAAAGAGAAGATGGATGGATCCCTCAAGACCAATCATCTAAAATACAATTAATCAGTACACAGTTACAAAGATAAGACTTACGCCACGTTTGACACAAAGTGCCGAACGGAAAGAACAAAATTAAAACACAGAATATCGTCAGCATGGTGAAAGGGAACAACAACAATACAAATTGACTTGTATCATTTTATCGTTGCAATAATTATGTCTTATCAAAATTATTGTTATTAAAACTTTCACGATAGTGTTATCGAATTCAGTATTAGTGCAGATCTTGTCTGAGATCTTGATGTTATCAATAACGTTACAAAGTAACTTTAGTATTTAAACTCTTATCATCATTAATGCGACATTCAAAAGTTATAACTCTAAATTAAAATTAAACGGAGGTGAACAAGCAATTTAGGTTCTGAAGACTTAAAATTTTTGACTCGTTAATGCACATGGCATTATATCAATAATTGTATTATTAAATATGAGGCCGCTAGAAGCAGAGTAGCCTAACTGCATTTTTTTGACTTGAGTTATTTATATCATTCCCCCGCCGCTCGGGCGAGTAACACTGCTTCGCGTTAGCTCTGTTGTTTTAAATGTTAAATTGTGGTATTCCGCTCGTTTTTTGTGCTAAAAATAGTGTTGACGTAAACGTTATAGTGACTATTAATTAGTGGTAAAAACTTTTGTGCTTCAAACACCACCAAGTTTGTGGAATTTGTCTTCAAAGTTCTAAATTGTTCTCAAAACCGTTGGGCCTCAACTACGGCAACTCGCGCTGCATCGGTGTGAGTCATCGCTCGCCTATCATTGGTGGTTCCCTGCCGCCCGCAAGCGTCCCCGCTCCGGTGCTACTCCTGCTCGCCAGCCGTCGCCCGTTCCACGGGTTTCTAGAACGTCTATATCAAGATGTCATCCCCAAGTAATCATTCAGAGGATTTAAAGAATGACGTTCAGTTGGGACGTCATGAAGACATAATGAAGGAATTTAGGCAATTAAAATTATTATTTCAAGATTTCATCCTTCAAACCACTACTCCTATCCGCACGGAGTGTAAATGTAAATGCAGTTGCCCCGAGCTTAATGACATAAGAAATGTAATTAAAGAAGAATTGCGTGCTTTGCGATGTGCTGTGTATAGTGATGAGACACCCACAGAGCTCGTCACGCCGTACTCTGCTGCCTTTAATTCTAATACAAACAACACTGCAGCAAAAAAATCTGTTGGATGTATAAAAAATGTCTCCTCGCACTCATCGTCGTCCTTTGCTTCGTCAAGTGAGAATACAACTACAAAAACGGGCAACCAGAAACAACAATCACGAGTAAATAAGCCGATAAAAACAGCTGTGAGCGTTTCATTGAATAATACTCGCGGCGAAGATGCATTGAACGAGGTACCGTCGGCGCAGGAACCGGTTTTATCTAGTGTGAGCAGTGCGGCCACGAAAACTGGTCGGACGTCTGCCGTGTTATCTGAATCGCCTTTTGTACTAGGAAATGGAAGTCAAATTAATGGCATTGGAAGAAAGGAAGCGGTTGGTAGTCCTGCAAAACCTAAAAAGTTAAAGCAGAGACAGAAACAGTTCAGCTCAGTTCAAATAGGTAACAGTAATGAACTGATTGCGTTTAGAGGTGTAGAAAGAAAAAAACACCTGCATTTATGGCGATTGCATCCGGAGACATCTGTCGAAGTAATTGAGGAATATGTATACAAATTGTGCGGTTCGGAAAAATCGATTAAGGTGGAAAAAATCAAGCACAAAACTGAAAGGGACTATGCATCGTTTATTATTGCCGTGCCTGAACAATCATATAATAAATTAAGTGATCCAAAAGTATGGCCACAGAATGTACAGTTTAGTGAATGGGTGTTTTTTCGAAGACAATCAAAAAAAGACTGAGTTGTATAGAAATATAGACATATATTATCAAAATGTTCGAGGATTACGTACGAAATTAACAGAATTTAGAAATAATGTAGTTTTAAGCGGTTTGGACCTCTTTGTGGTTACTGAAACGGGATGCAATAATTCCATAAATGATTCAGAAATAGTACCTCCGAGTTATCAAATATTGCGTTCCGATCGCACAGACGGGAGGAAAATGGGCGGCGCGTTTTTGGTGGCCACACGGCGGTACGAACTGCGGCAAGTCACTTGCGGTGAGTCATCGCTCGTTAACATTGATAACTGTGCTTTTGAATTAGTTAGCGGCACTGTATTTTTAAGGAATAACTTCTTGTTTTTATTATGTGGAATATATATACCGCCACGAAGTTCAGAGAATGATTATTTACTATTATTTAAAAAGTTAGAGGACTTATGTTTAAAGTATAAGAAAGTTGTTTTAATAGGAGATTTTAATTTGTTTTCGTGTTCGCTTAATACATTAAACTATTATGAATATTTTTTGGCGTTTTGCGAGCTTACTCAATGCAATAATGTGCCTAACTGTTTAGGCCGGCAACTAGATCTAGTACTTGGTAAGGGTTTGGGCGATGTGCGCGTGTCTCAAGCAGACGAAAGCTTAGTGCCGGTGGACGAGTACCACCCTCCCCTCGTCGTCTCCGTGACCATATCTAGCGGTAGTGTGCGTAACGAGATGCCTGCCGCGACCGAGCCGCCCTCTACGCGTCCTAAGTGGAACTTTTATAAAGCAGACTATAATTTATTATATTCTCGTTTATTGTCAGTTGACTGGAGTTTACTGTTCCTTATTAATGACGTAAATGAGTCAGTAAATTACTTCTATACAGTCATCTATGAAATTTTAGACCAATGTGTACCGCGAAAAGTTAAAAAAACTGAACAGGGAAAGATAGCACAGTATCCGGAGTGGTACTCGAGGGATATAATAAGTAAAATTAAATTGAAGGCTAGCTTACATAAAAAATATAAGAAAAGTCAATTAGAGATAGATTATATAGAATTTGCTCGGTATCGTAAATTAGTAAAACAACATATTAAACAAGGGTATAAAATGTATATAGACAAAATTCAGAGACAGTTTACTATTGATCCGAAACTTTTTTGGAAGCATATTAATATGAGGAGGGGTAGTGCTAGCCGATTGTCTTTATTCAAAGAAGGTAGGATACTTAATGATAAAGAGTGCGCAAAAGAGTTTGCTAATTTTTTTAAGAGTGTCTATAGTGTACAAAAACCAGATTTAGACTATGTAGGGGCGGCAAAAAATGGTAACAACAGTTCACGAATAGAACTTACCAATCTAAGTTTAGACGACGTAAAGAAAGCCTTAGTACAATTGAAACCAAAGTACTCCTCTGGGCCTGATGGTATACCTGCCTTTCTATTTAAGGACTGCAGTAGAATACTCGCCGAGCCGCTTTGGTATGTTTATAACCTTTGTCTTGCGACAGATACGTTTCCCACCGTCTGGAAGACATCTAAGGTAGCACCAGTACCGAAAGGTAAAGCTGGGTCAGAAGTTGAGGGCTACAGACCTGTCGCGGTTCTTTCTACCCCTGCTAAGGTCTTTGAATCGGCCATACACAATAGTATTTTTGGTCAGATATCGTCGCAATTAGACGACACGCAACATGGTTTTAGGCCGTCACGTAGTACTGCGACAAATCTGATTAATTTTATGTCATATGTGATACCAGCTGTGGATGCCGGAGTCCAGGTAGATGTGGCATACCTTGATTTTAAAAAGGCTTTTGACACAGTGGATAATGACGTTCTTTTAAGCAAGCTAGGGCAGTTAGGTTGTACTCCCAAGCTCTTAAAATTCTTCTCTTCTTATATGGGGGATAGACAGCAGTATGTGGAGTACAATGATTGCGAATCAGACCCTTATTTCACGGTGTCAGGAATTTCTCAAGGCAGCACCTTAGGGCCTTTAGAATTTCTTATAATGATAAACGATTTACCGAAGGTCATCCGGTCCAGTCAATGCCTAATGTTTGCTGATGACCTCAAGATTTTTTTGAAGTGCAAGGAGATGGCTGATTGTGAACTGTTGCAAAATGATTTAGTGAATGTCTTAGACTGGAGTATTAATAATAAATTGTCCTTTAATGTGGAGAAATGCTCGATAATGAGCTTTACTAGATCAACGGCACCTAAGGCATTCAACTATCAATTAGGCCCGGTACCACTGAAACGTATGAATCGAATCACGGACCTGGGAGTGTTATTCACATCGGACTTACATTTTCGGGCCCAGGTCATCAAAGTCTGCAAAACAGCTTTTAGGTGTTTAGGATTCGTTTTACGGCAAAGCAGCGACTTCACTAGCCTGTCTACGGTTCGAATTTTATACGACACCTTAGTGAGAAGCCATTTAGAATATAACGCTACGGTTTGGTCCCCTCACGAGGACAAGTACCGGTTAATGTTGGAAAAGGTACAAAATAAGTTTACACGTTTTCTTTACATGAAAATGTACGGTGTATATCCGTATTATCCATTGATGTACCCATCACTGTTCGTACTGGGTATGGTGGGTTATACGGAGCTTAGAGTGCGAAGGGAGTTATCACTTGCAGCGTATGTTATAAGGGTATTGCGGGGAAAACAAACTAACATGCAAATGCTGGGAATAATTAGTTTGTTAGTACCTGATCAGTACATACATAAAAGGCATCGCCCAGGTCTTATAAAGGTACCCTTTTCTAGAACGAACTTGTTAGGAAAAGCGTCCTGGACAAGAGCAGTAGAGGCACTAAACCTACTTCATAACCAAAAGGACATATTCTATGATGCATGGAGTGAGCTCGTAAAATGTTTGCAGTTTATAATTTCATATGGTTTATCCATGTGAAATTATAAACTGTAAACACTAAGGATATTTAAACACTAAGGATATTTAAACGCTAAGGATATTTAAACACTAAGGATATTTAACACTAAGCATATTTAATATTAGTTAATAGTTAGTTATAAGTCATAGTATAATTGTAATCTATATTTCAATGTTAGTTTTTAAGTGCAATGTCGAATTGGGCTTCCACCTGTAATGACAATGTAATTTTAATGATTAAATAAATAAATAAAAAATAAATAAATATTTTCATAGTATCTACATGAGTGATACAGTGACCGAAAATCGTTAACATAATTTTTACTCTTATTTTTACTTAAATTCATTTTCGCATAAGTTAATTGCACATTTTTATTATCCCCCTTATTGAACTCATGCTTTTTGTTATGTCTGCCTCTAGTCGCCTCATATTAAATGGATTTTTAATTTTTATAATGCATGGTTTTCAAATATTTCCACTGCTGAAGTCAAAATAATAATAATTAAACATTAATTAAATATTAATGACATTGGATTACAAAGTTATCGTGTTATACTAGAAGTATTGTTTAAAAGTCTGATCAGTAATGGCAAAAAACTTTAAGAATTCAACGGTTTCAACTAGTCGTTAAAACCAATAGAAATTTAATCCTCAATGGCAACGCTGTTTGAGAATTTTGATAAACATACACACACTCTCTTTACAATATTATATCTGTGTGATGTGATTAGTGTCAGCCGTCCGAAAGTAAAAGGAGACATGATAACATTTTTAACACTTTATTGCCTGTAACATCGAAAAGAGATAATCAACATCTAATTCTCCAGTGAATTCTGAGTACTAATTATTATTACCCAGGACAATCGTAGCAGAAGCTTGGTATAGGGTGCTCTGTTTTAGCGAGATCTAGTGCGATGGGAGCGAAGACGTCGTTCGCCCAAGTACTTACACTTGTAAACGTGCTGTTCCAATCATACTGTAACAAATTAAGAAAACTTTAGGTAGTTAAGCACTCATTTAAATAAAATACTTTGACGGTTAAAGACGCGATGTATATTAGTCAAACATATTTGACAATTATTTTAACTACGGCCTGACGTTTCGGATGCTTTAAAATAATTCAAATAAGTTCAACTCGTATAAATCGCGTTTTGAACCGTTAACGTGCTTTATATAAATGTGTACGACTCGCGTAAACTACAGACAGAATTGAAATTCAGTACTATTAAGTCCAAAGCCGAAGAATTCGAAGATCGTTTGTTATATTAGAAGACGATCCTCACGAGGTCCAACATTTTTTCGAAACATGTTGTTCTTCATCTGAAAATCTGTATATTAAACGGGTGGTAGGAATATCAAAGTTCCGGCTTTCCTCATTTATCATTAATTTAATTCTTCTCATAAACATAAAAACATACTTGAACAAATATTCATCAAGTATTATAATAGCGACCTCTTACCAAATAACTAAGAATTTGTCCATACTCGTCCTGGGGCAAAAACTGCATACGATTTGTGGTTCTGGGTAGAAGTGGAACAACTCTTGACGATAGCTCATCAGTGTAGAGGTTTTTGATTAGCTGAAAGTAAATGTTCGCATAGTATTATTTAAGTCATTAGACTTAAATAATACTATGCGAAATTACCTAGTACATATACATATTTTTAAATACTACTCTACCTGCTGAAGCGAGTCTAACATATTTCGCATTTTAAAGTGTGTTATGTATTTTATAGTGTTTTATTCTATGGATATCAGACACTTAATGTAGAATTTAACGTTTATTAATTTACATTTTTAAAGGACTAATAAGTACGCGTTTGTGTTAAGCTATCGTGAGAAATTTTCCTCTTCTCTGACAAAGACAAATATTTTTTGTCTGTTATATGCTATACAGCGAAGCAGTTTCAACAACATATGGTGACAAATATATATGCCTAACATAAACATGTAATACTGTTTCATGTGGCTTAAGGTTAAGTGATGAGAAACATGTTGCATCTGGAAGGGATTGAACCAACGTCCCAGTAATAATGAGCAATATATTTCTACAATTAATCCAATTCACACTTTTAACTTGTTAGACTGTTGTTATATTTCAATGTTGGTACTAAGAATTTCCTACAAACAATTGATACCAACCGCAATTTGAAACTGAATCGTTGGATACGTAATGGTACCAGTGTTGTGATACTTTCGGTCCTCGAAAACGCCATCTAATTCATACCCAATCGTCACACCGTGCATGACCATAGTACTCCGAAGTTCCAAGTTCGTTAAGTTAGTGCTTCTGGTGTATAACCAAACTTGCTGAACAGTGTGTTGGATCAAAGCCAGGTTCTGCATAGACACGACAAATCCATTTTTTAATGTTACTGTACCCCTCACTGTTTTGTTTAGAACTTCTTCGCTGTGGAAGAATGAAATTTAATTATTATGAAAATTATATTGAAAATCGTACTTTAATATAGGTGATGAATAAAATATATACAGACTTTAAGGGCCATTTGACAAACATACATAAACATAAATATACAACCATACAGATAAACTAAAGTAATTTTGTATGATTTAAATGAAACAATTTAACGGTTTAAAACACGAAATATATTAGTTATTTAAAATGCTTTGGATAAATTTCAAATAAGTTTAACTATTGTATATCGTGTTTTAAACCGTGAGTCTTTTATTTAAAAATGTACTACTCTATTTAAAAATGTACTGAAGTACAGACAGTATTCAATTTTGTATGAATTAATAATCAATTAACGATTGAAAAAATTTAGGACACGGGGAAGACTTGAACTAGCATTAACAGCGTTCGGTGCTAATGCTATAAACAATTGAGCTACAGTGCCCTACACGTCATTGTCGAAGTTTTTCAATGCATTGATACATGCAACTCTCGCGCAATGTAATTTCGTATGTTTATTTTTATCCTGGAACATTATATCAAATAGATAATCCTAGATATACAAATATCAACGCAATAATTTTTGTAAGGGCATTAAGAGAAGTCCCTAGATATTAACGTCGAAAACAACTGTTAATAGATTTCCCATATGGATAAAATTGGGTAGACCCTACTTAATATCCAAAACGACATCTTCAACTTTGAGACTACTCCAGTTGTGTTTCTGAGCGCGGTCCACCGTTTTCTGGACCAGGTCTACGATGTAGGTCGTGTGGTCGCTGAGACGAATATTGTTTACTAAAACAGAAAAATACCAATACACGATTAAAAGCGTGGGGCTCATGGTATGATATAGCCCCAGCTTATAGCATCGAAACGAAATGCTCTGTCGAACTACTTTGGCTTTGGATATTCGGAAATCCACAGACTGAAACCGAAATATGATTAAACTGCACGGCTTTTCATCTGTGGACGTCGGTTCGTGACCCGGACGGAATTTCGATATTCTTACCCATTTCTTATGAAGACTTCTAACAGAGTCATTTTAAAATGTAGAACTTTGTCACTCTATTCGATTTATTGACATTATTTTTAATTTTAAGATATTACTAAAATAAGAAGCAATGAATAAAGAAATACCAACTTACTTGTCTGACCATATACAAATATAATAAAACTTAAAAATATAAGCAAAGTATAACGCATCGTGACGACAGTGAAATGTCAATTAAAAAATATTAGAACCAATTATTCACTGATATAATAATGTAAAGATAATTTTCGATACTTTTTTTTATCGTTCGTCTTATTATCGCATCCTGATAATAGTCATCATTACTACATTCATACCTATTGATATAAAGAGACTGTTTTGATTTAGTAAAGATCTCGACTTCCCTTCTTGAAGTCGGAGGTTCGATACTCGGTCGTGAACTAGCATTTATGTTTTCTATACTTCCAGATAAGCTAGTAAGTAAGTACTTGAAAATAAACATTGGACATGTAATATTTCTTTTGGCCGGCGGCCAGATAGAATCTCACAGGTTTTGGAACTATTGATAATAATCGTAATTAATTATAACTAGTATTAAAACCCAATATGAATTAGTTAAACTCATTTGAACATTATTTTAACCACGGCCACGGATGCTTTGCAGCGGCCATGTTAAAGTAATTTCCAAATAAGATTAATTAATATATGTCGCGTTTTAAAACCGTTAAGTGTTTTATTTAAATGTGTACTATTCGCGTAAACTAGAGACAGTATCGTTTTGATTTTTTAATGATAGAGGAAGATGATTTGGTGGGATAGAGTCGCCAAGGACCTGGAAATCTTGGGCGTCCAAAACTGGAAGCAGGAAGCACGAGACAGATCGCAATGGCGGAAACGACTAGAGGACGCTAGGGCCCACAAGGGGCTGTACAGCCACTGATGATGATGATGAGGAAGATAATCGAGCATGGGGTTCAATAGATGAAAGGTAAAATACAGCAATATAACGACTAAACAAGATATGTTATCGACCTATTTTTGGATTAGATAAAATAATAAATTCTGACTAATATGAAAAATGTTATATTTCAAATTTTCCCACTTTCCACCATTTCCTTCAATTTAAACTTCTGTATCTTTCCGGAGGCAGTCTTGGGGAATATTTCGGTCGTTTTCAAAATTCTCGGAATTTTAAATTTTGCGATTTTTCCAGAGCAAAACTTATTCATATCCTCTAAAGAAAATTTGGAACCATTTCTTATTCTTAATACTGCACATAGCTCCTCGCCTAACCGTTCATCATATACTCCTACAATCTGTAAATAATTAACAACACTTAGTCTGTCGTCATGTCACTAATAACTAAATAAGACTTTGAAGGGAACGGTACCAGTTATTTGAAGAAAACTACCAAATAAGGTACAATTTTTATAAAGGTTAATTCACCTGGCTTTCAATAACATCAGGGTGAGTGCTCAGTAAGTCTTCTATTTCCTTCGGTGCTATATTTTCCCCTCCACGAACAATGATATCCTTGATGCGACCAACGATCCGACCATATCCATCATCAGATATCGTAAATTTATCACTGAAACCATTGTCTAATGTTTTCAATTGTCTTTGGGTTACACAAGAAAAGTATCTAACTACATTTTAGAGATAAATACTCTTTTAAGAATAATCTTTTAAAATATGTAACTAAATTTAAAAACTTCACCAAGAGTCAGTTGCTTCGACTATGTTTAAAGTTTTATTTAAAAATGGCGTCGATATTACATATCGATGCATTATTTAAGAAGTACTACGTTTCGTATTTAAAATTATAAACTTAAAACACTTTAACGATTAAAAACGCGAAAATTATCAGTTTAACTTATTTGAAAATCGGAGGACGGCCTCAAGTTATGAAACACCTTCGATGCCATATATAAAAGTCTAGATTCCATAAAACAGCATACCGGGAAACGCGAAAACACCGTAAGTTAATTATGCAAGGTCCCGGCTAGTTTCGCCGAAACAGATGGCGCTAGCGTAGCAGTTTTTACTTTGACATTAGAGATAACCATCTTTAAGAGTCTCCCCGAGACCACGGCTGCTGCAAAGCATGCGAAACGTTGTAGTAATTTTCAAATAGGTGTAACTAAAATATATCGCGTTTTAAACCATTTAAGTGATTTATTTAAATGTGTACTACTCCCGTAAACTACAGACGGTATTAAACCTTATTTAGTTGCTTTACGGGCGTAAGGTAAAAGGCAAGTAGAAACGACCCACCCTTATTCAAACAAACTTAAATACCCAGTGTGCAGCCAGCCATCTTCGGTCACTGCCTCCTTCGTTTTCTCTGGATCGTCCCAATATGATATCATATTCAAGTAGCCCCGGACCATGAGCTCACCTGGTTCACCCAATGGAACTCTCCTTCCTTCAGGATCGACTACCTATAATGAAGACTCTTTAGATCTTTCAAAGAGGAGTTATTCTTTCATAAATATTATTGGGTATCTTTGACCGTTTTTGGCAGCGTACCTACGCTTCGAAAACCCACAAAGAATAATAATTTGCCCCGTTTTTTCACACATTTCCCGCTGTTTCTTCGCTCCTATAAGACAAAGCGATATTTTATAGCTTATAGCCTTAAATGCTCTAAGGACAAAAAAAGGATTTTTCAATTCGAACCAGTAGTTCCTGAGATCAACGCGTTCAAACAAACAAGCAAACAAATCAACTATACAGCTTTATATTTGCGTATAGAATGCACAGGGCCAAGAAATAATATAAAATACTACTTATAACTTTGCACAAATATTTTTTAAGGATCAAATTTTTGTCTCCTTGATCGAATATAAAGATGAGCAAACCTTATTATAAATGTATGTAACATAAAAGATACAATTGTTTCTAGTGATGTAAAAGCGGTACCTGAACTTCAACGTGGTCCTGTATGTATCCGACGGTTTCAGCCACCGTCTCGACGGAGTCTTCGGGGAGAGACTGAAATACGCTGGCCGTTGTTTCCGTCATTCCATATAGGGACTGAAAAAATAAATAAGATGTACTGATAATTTCACAATACATTTACCCTCTTTATTACAAACGAGACATCCCGATATTAATTAACTTCGAAGTATTGCCTGTAGTTTATGTGAATAGTAGGTAAACATTCAAAACGCTATATTAGTTAGCTCATTTATAATTTATTTTTAGAGACCCGACTTTTTGGAGACGACACCGCGAGTCAGTCCATTAAGGGTTCAACCAGTTTCTCCAAATAGCAAATACTAATACCAGATGGCGCTAGCGTAGCACTAACATCACTCCTTTCGTGACTCAGAATCCGTTGTCAGTAGGTAAAATAAATTGTACATCAGCCAATTATTATATTTCGCGTTTTAAACCGCTAAATATGTCGTATTTAAATCAAAGATGTGTTAAATTACAGACTTTGACGTTCCGTTTTAGACAAATTAAGACAATAATCCTAATAATAAATAATAAAAAGTATTTTACTGATATTCTACGTACACATACCCTTACTGAGCTTGTATTTAAGTAATTTTTCATTTGCAGCATCAGTTCTGGACTGCACGGAGCCCCGGCAGCTAGCGCCATTTGCAATTTGATTGGTAAGTTTCCTTTGTTCTTTACTTGAGAAATAATATCTACGTACATCGTAGGTGTTCCTGTGATAGATGTACATCTAGAAAAAACGAATAAATTAAATTAATATCGGTAAAAAGAAGTACTAATAAGAAATATATTGAAGTGGACGCTATCAAGTGTCGTATTATGTAATGTTTCACGGTAACTGGTGGTTAATAACTGGCAGTGAATGTCTCAACTCCTTTTCGTAATTAAATTTGTATCGAGACGTATTATATATTAATAAATTACTTATGCTGTGTTATAATGTGTCAGCGCCATCTATTTCATTGTAATTGTACTAACATCTCTTCCATTGGCCCCCTTTATTCTCAATTACGGCACAGACTCACCACAATAATAGTGAATTGGAATTGACCACTGGACCGAATCTAAAGGTATCTATTTAGAATATTGAACCTGATTGATCATATTGGAATAAAGCCTATTGGAAGTAAGTACCGAAGTATTTGACGTTTTCTTTTTAAGATTTTTTTTTGTAAAATTGGCATGTGTGACTATTTTGCCTTGATGCCATTATATAATAACAGGTAGGTACTTGTAATGAATCGTGTCTTCAAAGCCAAAATAGGTCAACGGCGCACCTTGCTCTGATGTTATATGGCTAGGCTCACCTACCATCTACTATACCTCATGCTTGTGTGTGTGAATTCGAGTCACTCTTGGCCTTTTTTGAAACTAATTAAAAATGTATTTATATAATGGTTTCTGACTGCTAAAACTTACTTTTCAGCGCATAGGGCTTTGACATTTGCAGATACACTATACGTGGTTGAAGGTAGGACTAACGTAGTGCCGTGTCGGAAACCTCCGAGAGTTGTCACCACTGAGCCTAGAGCGTGAAACAGTGGTACCTGTAAAACATGGTAAGTTTATTACCTCTAGTTATAGTGGTTAAACGCACCTGTCAATATCCTGGGTTTGAATGCCGGTGGAATATAATAAATAGTTTCGTTCGTAAGCAAATGTGTTTAGCCTTGCCGGTAGATGGATTCGATCAGTATAAAACATATGAGGATGCAGGAAATTTCTTGAACTTTGAATTTTGACATTATATTTCTAGGAAGACCTTACAGAATGTAGTTGAAACTAGCCGTTTCAGCGACTTCGTCCGCGTAGAATAGTTATTTGGGCAGCCAAATTTGTTCTTGCAAACCCTTTCCCTATAAACTTAAGCTGTTTCCCACGACGTCGGTCGCGTCCTTTCCCGCCGTTTTTACAAATTCATCTTAAAAGATACATACATATAGCAGCGAGGAGTTTTTTTAGATCATTTAAAGAGAAAACATTCTTTCCTTCATATTTATTGGGTATTTCGAACCGTTTTTGCAGCGTACGTCTCGGAATCCAGAATGATGAATAATTTTCCCATCTTTTTACACCTTTCTCAAACAGTTCAAATAAACAAACTCTTCACTCTAGACTATAGATTTATTGTTTATAATGTTATTTTTTCAAATAGGTAGTCAAATATTATGATTATTCAACCTATTAAATTAAAAAATATAATATTCCAAAATAGGGATTCCGCTGTAGATTTTTTAAATAAGGATTATTTTCAAGTGATTTTGAAATACTTGTATTACCATACATTAAGTATACGTATGTAGTATGTAGAACTTCAGTAAGTGTACAAATATCTATAGGAAACAGTTTTGTCTAGAAGTATTATTTACTCAGAGATGTAAACACGAAATTTAGAGGTTATCATATCGTTTACGTCATCGCATAAGTTCAGCTTATAAAAGATTGTCTTAAGTACTAAGTATCGTGACTAACTCCATTCTAGATAATAATTAAAGTAATTAGTACCTACTTTCTGAAGACGTACTTTGGTTAATTTTGCTTTGCAATAAAACAATAAAAGATATAAATTCTGTCCGTAGTTAACGCGAGTACAAAGTACACATGTAATAAAACGGTTTAAAACGTTTTTACTTTGACATGAAATAAAATCATCCTCCATCTTTGGGAGACTAAAGAGAGGTGAACACGGCTGCTGCTTCCGAAACGTCAGGCCATAGTTCAAAGAAATTTTCAAATAAGTTTAACTAATATATTTTGCCTTTTAAACCGTTAAAGTGTGTTATTTAAATGTGTACTACTCGCATAATCTAATACTGAATATATAAATAACGGACCTAATTCGGAACCTTTTGACTGCCACCGTAGCTCAATGCTCATTACCTAGCATTGTTTTAAGCGCGAAAAGTCCCGGGTTCAAATTACATAACAGAAGTTTTTATACAAGTTCGAAGTTTTGCAAACCTGCACGCAAGTTATTTGATGTCCCTCGTGGAAGCTATTTCTGAGGCCCGAATAGTAGGTATTGTTGACCATGCCGAGATGGGAGTCTAACCCAGCCTTTGGATTGCCTAGAAAAATAATTATTTCTCTTTTTAATGTCAATAATTTAAGAATATCTAGTCCTTGAGTCACTTAGGTTCTTTTAAGATTACGCGCAAGGTCCTAATTGCCTTGTATTATTTTGTATAGCATGGCATTACCATAATGAAAGTTGAAATACCTCACAAATATGACATTTAAACAAGATGCGACCTAGTTGAAACCAAACGCGGCCTTACTACTTCACAACTTTATCATTGTTTTTCAAAAATATTACTAAATAGGGTTTGAAACATGTAGATTGGCTGGAATTAAACCCACGACCCATTGATTAGACTAACGAGTCTATAACGAGTGAATATCAAAAGCTTTGACTTATTTTGATAAGACGACAGCACATCTTGTTTAGATGTTATATGGTTCCATTTCACCTACCATTAAGTCAACCCCGTGCTTATCTGTTCCCTCCATCATAAAAAAAGCTTAGTTTTATCTCAAGAATAGCTAAAATACTTAATACCAACCTACCCGTGGTACCAGATGTGAAGTGTATCAAACAGCCATCTTCGGATTTGACCTCCTCGACGTATCGAGTTACATTTTCATTTTGATAGCTTCTTGTCAAAGTGTCCAAGGAGAAAGCTCCGCTGTAAGAAAGGCGATAAATAAATAAATATTGTTTCATTGCGTATATATTTACAAGTCTCTGCCGTTATATTTCCATCTACCCACATTTTTAACAGTTAATATTAGTTTTAATAATTATATTATATGTGTATTTTATTTTGCATAAAGTAACAAAAAATTGTAAGCAACGTATAGATAAGTTGCAATATGTTAGTTTAAATGAATGTATATTTTTTAATGAAATACTTGTAACGTTCAAAACGCGCGATTTAACGGTTTAACCGTTAATAGTGTTTTATTTAAATGTATATTAATGTATCTTCCTCTATTTCTTAGAACGTATAAGTAACAGCCCTAACTCTTGAACCTTTTGACCTCTTGCCAGTCCAACTTTAAGCGTGAAAATTCCCGGGTTCTAATCACGGCATAACACTATAAAAATTGGTCTATTAACCAGACTGATTACATTTACTCAAATCACTCGTAAAATATAATACTTTCGAAGTCTGAGTAAGGTAGTATTATATAAATAAGAATTGAAAGTTTCTCAGTCCGTTTAAAATTTTTGAATGTTTTATGTTACGTAAACGCATTGTGAATGTAATATTTATTGACCTGCATATTTCGATGATAAATTTAGACTTGTGTAGTTAAAACCCCGTTCTTCGTAATATCATATTGATAGCTCGGTTTATATTCTGGACTACGAAAAAATACAGTTAGGCAAAAAACGCCGTCACAAATTATTATAGCTTGAATGAAATGATTAGTACTTTTTAAAGTTGCATTATTTATTTAAATGTGCACTACTCGCGTAAACTATAGACAGTATTTTATTTATTTATTTCATTAAATTCGTACAACATTAGATTAACTTCAAATAGATCTAGAACTGAGCAACATACAAATGTGTATTAGATAAATGAATCCGTTTAGTATCATTTTAAATATTGGATTATAAACTCACTTGAATTGTTGCTTTCCTGCGACTATAAGAGTACTTAGAGAGGGGAATACGCTAGATTTTATTTCTCCAGGTTTCGACTTCTCCAACTCTGGAATTAGTTGAGTTAGCACTTGATGATAGCTTTTACTTCGTATGTCATCTCCCACCAGCAAACCTTTTAAGTTTGTTTTTTTGATGCAATAACTTAGTTCTGAGGCCTCATACAGAGGGTTGATCAGCACCTGGAAGAATACAATTTTATTTTACAATAATGTCACTCGATAGCATGAATTTCGTTAAAGTCAAAGGCATTTCTAAAAAATTGTACAGTTTATCAGAGTTTTGATGCAATAAAAAAATTATTTAGAAATAATCCTGAAATAAATAAAATTAACTTAACTTAGTACTTATTTAAAATGCTCCAGTCTTAACGTAAGGAAAACAGTAAAAGAAACCAAAAAAAAGAACCAAAGAAATAAACTAATTTATTACAATAAATAATGTCGATTTTCTTTTGTTATCAAATTCGCGGTAACACTCGTGTCTAAAATGAAAATGGATGCAAACCTTAAATAAAAGTATATAGAAATTCATCAACCAAACTTTTTAATTACAAAACAATTAGTACTTGCTAAACTTATAACTATTTCGAAATCTACACCTTACGTACCGATATAAGACCAGCTCTGAAGGCAGCGATGGCCGTCACGATCCACCCCACGCAGTTGTGAGACCAGATTCCGAGTCGGTCTCCTTTCTCGAACCCGCTGTTGCGAAGGGCATATGCGAGTGAATCGGCCTGAAATCATGTAAATAATTATGCAGTATCTATTTTAATGTGATAATCAAAGGCCTGAGTGAAAAGCCCCATAATCCAAAAAGCCCCAAGTCCCAAATCAAGTTGGTTTGCTCGTTTAAAAGTGCTAATCTCAGGAACCATGAGGGATCGATTTGAAAAATTATATTTTTGTTGATTGATCAATATTTAGGTTTAACTGGTTTAGGCTATGAAACATCACGATGGAATTAATAGGAGCGAAGAAACAGTGGGAAAAACGCGGAAAAGTCATCTTTGTTTCAGTTGCGTGCGCTGCGAAAACTTTTCAATATACCCAAAAAATATGTATAAAAAAATTATGCTGATTTGAATAATCTAAAATCAACGCTGTGTATTTTATATGGTTAACTTTTATAATTAATTAACAAGAACTGCTTTTACGGTAATTAAATTTTGCTCAGAATAATTCATATGGCAAAAGTACGATTGCCAGGTCTGATAGTATTTCATACTTATGGCTGTTCCGGTAAGTAACTCTTATTGTATTAGTTAATGCAAGATTTTAAATTTTTCGACTAAACCCTTCACCCTTCTGATAGTCAATTTTTCCAAAGTTTATGAATTTATTTGGAAGAGAAATGATTTATAAAATACAAAGACTAGTTCTTGTCACTTTGTCATTTGTTGTTGGTATTTGGAGAACTACGCCGATAGATGGCGCTAACGTAGTAGATTTGACTTAAACATCAGCGATACTTTCTATCTTCAGGACTCCTTTGACCGCGGCTGCTGCAAAGCATCCAAAATGACGGGCAGTGAAATAAAGGAAAATTTATTTACTGATATATTTCGTGTTTTAAACCGTTTTTTATGAATATTACTCGTGTAAACTACAGACTATAGCATACCTGCCTAAGTAAATCTTCATAAGTCAGAGTTATGTCCTCATGCAGCGATCTAATAGCGACTCTCTGAGGAAACCTATTCACAGTCTCTTCTATAACTTGACCATAATTTGCTCTGCTGAGAGGTTCTACTCCCGGATGGTGTAAATAACTGTCTTTGTCCAACTTTAGTTGATGGAGTAGTCTGAAATTTCAAAATCATACTCAATCACAAAAGTTTAGTTTTAGTGTCAACTGTCAATGCTGCTAATACCCACCAAGCGCCTCCCATGCGGGTTTAAAGATTTTTTATTAAACTAATAATGGATCGAGGGTTCAACGTGCTCTTTGAGATACGGGGGCGATGGCACATCGTTACTTTAAACTCCAGGCTGATGTTAGAAAAATACGAAAAAAAAAACAAATATTTTTCCTCATCTAGCGTAGCAAGCACAAGACAGTGGCAGAGTGTTTTATTAAATTACTAGCTACTAGGACTCCGTCCGCGTAGAATAGCTATTTTCGGCATCAAAAATTGTTTTCGCACACCTCCACCCCCCTCTTTAGCTGTTAATCTTAAAAGAGGAATCATCGTTCCGTACATATTTTTGAGTGAATTAAAGATTCGTAATTTTCCCCGTTCTCCCCACATTTGTCCACTATGCTTCGATTCAATTTGTCGCCTTCCTCGATCCAATCAACACACTAAGAATTGTTCAATTCAAACGAGTAGTTCCTGAGATTAACGCGTTCGAACAATCAAACAAACTCTTCAGCCTTTATAATATTTGTATAGTAATATATATTTTTTTTACTTAATTAAAACTTACAACAACAACAAAAGGTTACGGTTTTTAGCAATTTGCGACAAACAAAGGATAAATTATATAAATATCATAAACGAATGTAAATCTATTTTGCTTAGAGCAAACAAAGAATGTCACCTGTATCCTTTACTATTTATCCTTAACGACGCCGCACTTCGAAACATGATTGAAAATTCAATTAAAATTAGCACTGAATGCAACTTGTCGCGACGAAGGTCGATTGCGTACTAATAACATTTTAATATATGCAAAATACAGTAAATTTTTATCACTCACTGTTATCGTGTTATTATTTAATTCTTTGCGTATTGTTTAACCCTTTAGCAACAAAAACAGTAATCGTATTATATTAAAACAGAAGAAATACGAAAATTGTGTATACGATTGTTTTATCTCTTATCTTCGTGTCCGTCCGGGGGTTCGATGCGCGGTCGACCTATTATAGGTTAGATATTCGAAAATACACAGACTGAACCCGAAACGCGATTAAACTTCACGCATTTCTCATTTGTAAACGGTGCTACATGAGCCGGACCGAATTTCGCTATTCCTACCATCCATTTAATATTATTTCCAGAAGTCTCAAATGTTTCAAAAAATTATACTTTGATTAGAAATATGTTGAACCCGGTGGAGATCAAACCCACGACTCGTTGATTATTCATACTCTTTGATGCCATTAGACCAAAGAGCGTGTCAACTTTTATTTATATGCCTGAATAAAACCATGACCTATTTAAATCGAAAAATTATATTGTTACCTAATTTAATAACTAACACCCGATGTTACGGATTTTTGCAGCGGCCGTGATTACGGAGGTTATAAGTGTTTTCAGTTAAGTTACACGTTATAAGTGTTTTAATAAAATAACAGATGCTCTTTCGAATATATAATGCTCTATAATGCATTTCTTCAGCAGCCACGGTCACGGGGAGACGTCGGGCCGTCGTAGTTAAAATTATATATAATTTCAAATAGGTTAATCTCATATATATCGCGTTTTAAACCGTCAAAGTGTTTATTTAAATGTGTACTACTCGCGTAAACTACATACAGTATTCAGCAAATAATTGCCTTATACATTGTACAGCGCCTGTTATCTGTACAAACTGGTTGTGGAGAAAATTATTAGGGTATTCTTTGCGGTCGAGCACCGATACAAAACGATCTGACTGTGCACTTTGAAAGGAGGCGTTTCTTTACGGGAACTTTTATTTCCATGTTTTGTCTCTAATCAATTTATACTTTTTGTCGAACATTGTTGGCTTCGTCTGGAAATCTGGATATTAAATGGATGGTAGGGATATCGAAATTCCGTCAGAGTCACAAACCACGGTCCACAGATAGAAACGACGTGATGTTTCGGCTTCAGTCAGTGTATATCCGAATAACCATACCCAACACAGCGCGACAGCGTATCTTGCTGAGAGGTTATATGGAGAATATCACCGACCATTTACCTTTGGCTGGCTTACCGGTTGGCTGTCTTTTAAATAAAATACAGAATAAATTCTCACCTTACTTACGTTAATTATGTTTAATCAATATTTGTAGAGATAAACAATCTTAGTCTTAAGTATACCTAACATGTGTTCCGATTAACAAAATGACGTAGTTTGTTTCAAGATTCGCGCCTATGACCTTGTTAGATAAATGCTGCGTAACAATGACATTCTCAAAAAATAAATAAAACAGATAGGTAAACATTTTAACAATTAATTATAATTAGAATATTTATGAATATGTGCTAAATATGTCTTAATGCCTTTATGTCCTGTCTTGTTAATGTCTTACACGGGTAAGGCCACTGCGCAGACACATTTTTGTATCTGTTGCCTTAGTCGAGTTTATTTATAGACACTTATTTGCTCCGACCTGTGCCTTGTCTGAACGAAACTATTATTGTTTTAGTAACTTTTTTATATTTACTTTGGCACATGACATTTGTTACAATCTACCATTTTAACTTAGATTATAAGATTATTAAAAAAAAAACATTCTTTCATACATGTTTTTTGGTGTTCATAGCACACGCACCGTTGTAGATGAATAATATTACCGTTTTTTCCACATTTCCTTTATATCTTCGCTCCTATTGCTCGCAGCCCGATGATTTATACCTTACTCGATCCTCAAACCACTAGTTCCTGACATTAGCGCATTCGAACAAGCCACGAACAAGTGAGTTTTATATGTTAGTGGACATTTGTGTGTACTGTGACTGTATAATATTCAACTAATTAATTAAACTACGACTGTTGACGGTCTAATTACGTTTTATATGTTATTTAGTGTTAAAGGTCAAGTGAATTTCCATTAGGACGAATGCTTTGTCTCCTACGGTCTACATATCGCACGGTTTCTTTCACTATCTGATCTTAGCATTAGAATTGAGGCCACCTCGCCCCCTCCGGAAGCCCGGCCCGCACGCGACGCCCTCCGACACGTTGTGACGAAACATGCAAATTTTCCTCCATTCTCTATAACCCTAGTTGATTCCTCCACAACCGTACAATCGATATGCGAGTAAGAACCAGTTGTGCGGGAATAAAAACGTGGACAACTCTCTTATGGCTCTAACGTGTAATTAAAACCTTTAATACAATTCACAAACATCTATCTTTGTCAAAAATCTTTAAAAACATATTTTGTTTATTTCCCTACGATATGAGATTTAGAATCAGAAACGATCGACCTACAAGCGACCGACAACACTGTATAATATAATATACCTGAATACATCCTATCATCGTATATTAACGATTACTGAACTGCTACGAAACGCGAATAGCATCAGGAAATGTTCGATGAAAAAAATTTAACAGCTTGAATCTGAAATAATAATGAATCACTTCATCATGAGCAAACTAACGATTTATAAGTATTGTTATTATTTTAATCAAACCCTCCTTCTCATTTTCAATTTAAGGAGCCCCCTAAACTTCATTAGGGGGAATATGCGACTAAACGGTAACCCTCCAGTCACCAAAAAAATGGGTCACTGCATGAGACATTTTAAAACATCGACGTAAGTTTGTTTGTAAAGCTAGCTAGCGTTGCCGTCGCTTTTATTTACTTGAATCATGCAAGAAGTCGGGCTGGCTACGCAACTGCCGCAGTTATAATCCGCCCGCCCAGCGATCCACACCGCCCACCATGAGTCGCGAAGTGCTTAGTGGTTAGCGTGGATTATGCGAGGATGTCTCAAGCTCCAACAGGGAAAAAGGGTGGGAAAGGTCCCCCGAAGAAACCGGTGGACGACGACAAGTCTTCGAAGGCGGAAGACAAAGATGAAACGTCCTCTAACAATGGAGACAAGAAAGAAGCTAAGGATATCAGCATCCCAGATGTCCCGAAGCCACCGAGCGCGGGCGTCAATATGCGGGAAGCGGCTGCGAAGATCCTCGTTCTTGCACAAAAGGGAGAGTGGTCCGCGGTGGAACAGACCCTCAAGGCGCTGGAGAAATTGGTGGCTGCGGGCGGAGAGGATATTGTGTCTGTTCCGATGGCTGGGATCGTCGATCCGGTAATGTTTTTTTTTCATTATTGTCGTGTCTTTCAAATTATAAGGCTCTACAAGTATTTAACTAAGAATATAGAGATCCTACTTACTAACCGACAACGTCGTAAATATAAAAACGTCTGTATTTATGTCGCAGATTACTAATTTCCAGACAGACTAAACTATAGATAGTATTCCTATCTAAGACGAGATATTAAAATGGACGCTAAAGCACAGTATTTTTAAAGTATGTCAAATTGAGGACATATTTTGAATTTAAGATAAGCCGCTCTGAATTAATTATTGCAATATCCACATTAGGTACAACAAATATCATACTGAAATTATAAATTCAAAAACCTTTTTGAAGATGTATGTTTGTTACTATTTTACGCCAAATGACTCAAATATTTTTTGATAATATCACTAATTCAAGAATAAACTGTCGATAATACTAATCTAAATTGTTCGTGAAAAGTATTCATAAAAAATAATTTCAGTAGTAAAGGCTAACTACGAGAAAAGTTTATCGTATCAATTTATTCCCTGTGAAGCCTTTTCAAGCTTCATCATTTAGACATAAACGACAGCGACGCTACTGTCGACCTGTCAACTAAGAGTGACGGCGATACCATTTTTAACTTAGTTTGCTAAGACAGAGAACATATTTAACTTCTCTTTTGGGTAGGCGGAATGTGTGGTTACTTAAATAAATAACTACACTACTTAAATTTACGTCTTGTTTATGGAAAAAAAAGTAAATCGAAGCAAAATTAATTAAATACATTTTTCGAAAGTCTATCTTTGTCTCTTCGAAAGTCTTATCTTTTATCAAAGGGTCGGGCTTTGGACTCTATTTATCGTTACTATAAGCGTATAAACTTGAGCTATTTTAGCCATATAACAATTAGACTTGTCTCCCATTATTCAATTCATTTGTAATATCATAAAAATCTCATTTCGACATCTCTCTATCTGCTCCTTGCAATTTTATCAAAATACAGTCTAATTTTTAAGAGCATAAAGATAAATTATCTTTAAAGTTAAACAATTTTAACGGTTTAAAACGCGTAAGATATTGCGCTAAATTGTTTTCAATTTACTTTAACTGCATTAGAAATAAGTTAAATAATAATTTGACCCGTTATAAGTATTTTATTTAAATGTTTAAATATCTTTGCGACATTGTTAGCTTTGTTATTCAATATTCAGCCTGAATATTTCGAATACTGGGTTATCACAAATTAACACAGCACAGTCAGTGCCAGTAGGGTAAACAGCACAGCGACATTTTATCTGGTCACTGATAATTTTGATTTGTTAATGGAATGTCCATAATAATATTTCAAGTGGCCGCGGCACGAGCCGAACTTTTTATCGTTTCGCGTTATCAAACAGGAAGGTATATTTGGATGCAGTGATAAAATGGCACACGGATATGTCGTTGTGTTATTGACTTTTGTTTTATTTACTATTTAAATGACGTGTTAAGATAATCAGTTCTAAAACCTTAAAAACAAAAAGGTAGTCAAACCCATCCGTCCCGCGTTTCGAAGTTTTTTTTTTGTTTGTTTCTTTAACGTTTTTGCAGCATGCAATGGAATAATTCAATTCCTTCAAAGATATAATTTATAAACAATCTTTCCGTTTATCCCACATCTCCCTCTGTTTCTTCGAGCCTATTTAATAGCCTTCCTGGATAAATTGCCCAACCCATACATATTTTTCAATTCGAAGCAGTAGTTTCCGAGATTAAAAAGTTTAAACAAACTAGCTTTATAATATTTTTAAGAATAAAATATACTTAAGACTCAAACTGTATAGAGAAAGTTAAACAAGTTATGTTTTATGCAAAAGATGCAAATGTTTCATGCGAAGAACTAAATAAATAGTCAATATATTAAATAATTCTAAAGGGTTATCTAAATTCTATACTAGCTGAGTCAGCGACTTCATCCGCGTAAAATAATTATTTTGGGCATCCAAAATTATTTTTGCAAAATACCCACGTCATCGGTCGCGTTCATCGATCGCGACCCGTCGTTGTTGCGAGTTCATCTTAAGAGACGGACATATTATAGTGTCGCGAATTTTTTTTTGATATTTTAGAAAATAATACCCTTTTTCATATATTTTGGTTATCCTGAACCGTTTTCGCAGCGGACAGGATGAACAATTTTCCCCGTTTTTTTTTCACATTTCTCGCTGTACCTTCGCTTATATTTGTCATAGAGCGATGTTTATAGCCTTCCTTAATAAATGTTTCAACCAACACAAAAATATTTTTCAATTCGAACCCGTCGTTTCTGTGATTAGCGCGTTCAAACAAACTCTTCAGCTTTATATATTAGTATAGATTGTGTATATTTAAGAAGCGATATGAATACATCTTGAAATAACTAGTGTTTATAATAACGTGTACTAACTTCCTGCATTGTTTTGTAAATATAGTTATTTTGTATGTCTCTAACTATTATACGTCGCGTTTAGAATCGTCTATACTAGAAGCTTCATATGCGAATAGGAAAGCTTTTCTATAGAAAACTGGTAACAGGTCACCTGACCTTAACGGCGCCAATCTAAGACCAGGCTCTATAATTATAAAAGTTCATTCGTAATCAACTCGAAGGTCGCCGTGACCACACGATCATTTTTTAATTCTGCCCAAGAATGACGTTATTTTCTAGGGAACTATTATTTTCGCATATAAACAGTGAATGGGAAAGGTATTATAACGTATACACCTGATGTTCTGAAGATATAGATAGAGATATGTATTTAAATAAATATACATACTTTTATTAGAGGCGAAAGAAGAATTATTTTTTGATTAATCTAAAAAAAAACACGACAGTAAATGCCTAAATACTGTCTATTGTTTAAAAACAATTAAGTTGAATTAATATATCGCGTTTTAAACCGTTAAAGTGTTTTATTTAAAAGTAAATGCCTATCTTTTAAGATTTAACTCAAGAACTGTTTATGGTAATAAAATTAACAAAGTAAGTTTTACTCACACATATAAATGTTACTGACGAGTATAGATCAAATACTAATGTATTAGTTGATCCCCACTGGGTCTAACATTTTTCTAATCAATTTACATTTTTTGGGAAACATGTTGGGCTTCATCTGGAAATAGGCGGTAGGAATATGGAAAATTCCGTCCGGGTCACAAACCACCGCCCACTGATGAAAAGGCCATAAGTTTAATCGCGTTTCGGTTTCAGTTTGTGGATTTCCGAATATCCAAAGCCGAAAAGTCGACAGCGCATCTTGTTTAGATTATGGGGTTTTTCACCAACCATTACCTACCCCATGCTTGTCTGTCCATCTCCATCATAGAAGAATACTGTATCATATCTCCCCTTCTAAGCGCCCTACAACTATGTTTTTACTAACGGATCAGTAGAATTAGATTCCGTTCTAACGATTTTTTCGTTCGCATTCACTCCGAAATATGTAGTCAAACAAATATTATACAAGGCCCGTTGTGATCGATCTGGCAATAAAGGTATCCCCAACAGTAAAAAGTCGAAAAGATGTCTCGAAAGCACACGCGAACCGTTGCCATGGCAACGACGACACAGAGGTAGAAATTGTGGATTTTAAAAGTTTAAATTATTGCTTTTATACGCGCATAATACGATTCGAATTCAAACAGAGAAACAATATTTAATAAATCATTACAAAATATTTCCATCTGTATCGTCGTAGTTACTTAGTTTAAGTAATAGTTTATATATAATTTATTACAATATTCCTACCACACATTTAATCTAGATTTCCAGACGAAGTCAAACATGTTTTAAAAAAATTATAAATTGAAAAATAAAAAAACATGTGGAACCAGGGGGAGATCGAACCCAAGACCCGTTGATTATTAGCCATGCATTGGTACCATTAGACCAATGAGCCCGTCGATATATATCGCGCTTTAAACAGTTAACGTAATTTATTTAAATGTACTACTCGTTACTACAAACAGTATATAGACGAACAATCATCAAACATGTTTAAAATATCACGTAACTTTGTACACTCTTTATTACGCAAATATATCGTTATAGAAAGTAAATTTAAATTATTTTGTTCCCAAATAAAATATTATTTAAAGAACGTTAAAGTAATTCTACACTATTCCCATGTAAGAAATAAAATTAAGGTCACAAAGGACAGTTTAATAACCTCATGTACATACCCGCATGTTGTATGCACCACGCCAAAAATATTAGCAAAGAATTCAAACGCTCTACTTTACATTGCATAGCCTACATTTTATGTACTATGAAGGCAAACGCGAAATCAACGTACGTGTGCTACTATAGAACTCTATTGACCCACGCTTAGAGAAGAGAAGACGCTTAGAATAAAATGTCACATCTTACCACTGTCGACAGTCTAAATAAAACATTTTAACGGTTTAAAACGCAGACCAACTTCGACGGAACAGATAGCGCTAGCGTAGCAACTTTTACTTTGACGTCAGAGACATCCTCTATCTTTAGTCTCCCCGTGACCACGGCTGCTGCAAAGCATCCGAAACGTCGGTCCGAAGTTAAAAATCATTTTCAAATCAGTTTAACTAATATATCGCGTTTTAAACCGTTAAAGTGTTATATTTAAATGTGTACTACTCGCGTAAACTATAGGCAGTATCTAAATAATACACTTAAAACGAACTCGAATGCTTTGCAAGAACATCTGAAACGTCGCTAAATTAAATTAAAAATAACTCACATATTTCGTGTTTTACACCGTTAAAAGTGTTTCATTTAAATATCGATCGTTTTATCAATTCGCATTTATTTGGCAAAAAGCAACCTTTAGAAGTACGGTTCAACATTTCGGATACTTAGCGTCGTTAGCTTAATTAATTAATGTTTCTAATTTAAAACGGTTTATTCGATTGAAAGGTGATTTATTTGAATGTTATTATTAATTTGTTTATACTTTTTGATGAGTATATATTCATGTGTGTATTGTTTAATAGAAAACTTTAAAGCTATCTTCCGTAACATAAA